AGCTGGGATCCAGAGAGAAGAGGGCAGAACATGACAGGCCAACAATGTTCGTCTCATTTATTGGAGCCAGTTAAAGAGAAAATGGCTGAGTAATCCTAGAGTCACATAGCCATAGGGGGTTTCAGGTAATCACCTTATAAAAGCTAGGGAAAATACTCCCCTGTCAGTCCTGTGTGTGTGGTTTCCCTAGGTCTGATGCTTTGTGAAGCAAAGGGAGTGAATCTAATTGTGATGGCTGGAATAGCTGCAGGGCAGAGAAATGTAAAGATCAGATGATGCTCATTAAAAAAACATGTTGTCTACTGTCATCAACAGGCGCTTTGCATGCCTAGACATATGCTTGGTAACCATGGGCCACTCATGGAGTCAAAGTCGGTGGACTATAAAAAGGCTGCAGAGATTAGAAAGTTGTTTTACTATTACATTTTTAATTTACTTAAAAGTGTACATTCCATTAAAGTTAGCAAACCACAGGAACTACCGTAGAAATCATATGAATTAACAAGGGCTACATGCCCAAATTGTCAATTTTTTTATAAAGTATTTTATATTTAGTGGCATCTAGCAATTAGTTGCAGATTACAACACCCGACTCACCATCCTGTTCCGTGTGTAGGAGAAACTACAGGGGCCATGAAAACCGCGAAAAACTGCAAAAGGCCTTAGAGTCAATGTTTGGTTTGTCCATTATGGGCTATAGTGTGTCCCATTATTTTGCATTGCTCCCCAAAGAGAAGTTAGTATAATAATATAAGTTTGAATCAACACCATTAAAGCAACGGATTGGCACTTTCGTAGATGTGCTTATTGGAAAGAGCAGTCACAACAGCCACAAGTCGTGTTTAATTCAAAAACCAAATACAAAACACAAAACATTGGCAGCATTGCTAAATAATGTACTTAGTTCTAAAATGAGAGATAGCTTCGCTCAGGGACAAGTCACGGTAAGAGTACTTATAAATAATGATCAGGATCTTTTTCCCTGTCTGGTGTCATGTGGTCACAGTTCATCATGTATGCATTGACTTTCTTACTCCTTCACCTATCAATGCAATGCAGCCTCTTGGCCTAATGACATGAATCAATATCAATAATATGGCTCATTCACAGGCACGACAAATACAAGCTGGAAACTATAAATAATCCAGTTCTTTAGGGTTGTTTAATGTCAAGTCGATAGTCAGTGAAGGGACAGAATAATACCTTTTCTGGGGAAAAGAAAAGGTAAAAGGTATATTTTCAGTTCTCTTTTCTTGCCACTGACAACAAGAATAAAAAAAAATTTAAATATGGAATAAGCACAAGTACAGTAAAGTACATCTGAAATGAGAAGACAAAACAACTTGGTATGAGAATAAAGAAAAGGTCTATAACAATGCATCAAAACACCAGACAGGAAGTGCAAATATTTATTGATTTCATGCACAGTGCATGGATTTAGTGTTACTGTATAGCTTGAGTGCTTATGTTGCATGATGTCACCTTGTTGTTTTTGTATGCTTATGTACTAACTTTCATTGAATCAAGTTCAATAAACATGATAAAGTCTTAAATGTACTGTAAAATTGTAAAATGTCGTGCTGCAATCAGTTGAATATAATGCTCTGAAACTGTAATCATGCAGTTGACTCCCTTGTGCTCTCTTTTTACAATGAGAAATAAATATCAGGTTTTCTTGGAAAGATTATTTTAAAAAGTACATTTGTGTCAGAGGGCGATTTCAGTTGGTTTAAGCTCAGCTCATAAAAACAAAAGTCATTGCTTGTCGGAGTCGTGCACTTTTTGTGAATGTCCACTTTGCCTAATGTGCCAAGACTTAAAGAAACCCACAGACTATCTCTAATTCAAGGTCAGCCAAAAAAGATTCTGTCTCTGCATTAGTAATAATCAGTGACGTAAGGTAGGCCCTAGTGCACTCTATTGTGATGGGCTCTAGCTTTGATTTAGTTGTTCTTTATAGTTTGTATGGTTTATGGTGAATAGAATATAGTTTTGTTATAGATTGCTACTATTTTACCAAACAAAAAGAGAAAGAAAACCATGAAGCAGATGTATTACCCGTTTCAAAGGCATATTTAACAAATGGCACCATTTTTAACAACAAGAACCCAACACTGCTGGAGGGCCTGTTTACTCTACAGGCCTCAGTGCCTGCATTGTCTGTATTTATGCCCTTTGTAATATTCAAAACATTGAAAGGGCTATTGGGCTATTTCAAATTGGTGTGTAAAGTGTTAATGCTTTGATAAAGAAGAGTGCGTCTCAGCAGAACTTGCCAAACATCACAGTTTCTCCTGCCCCCCCTTGAGAGTGCAGGTCTGTTTCTGCTTCCTCCAGCAATAAATCAAAACCTAAATGGAACTCTGTCCCAGCTCCAACTTCAGGTGACGCAGGCGCATGAAGCCAAATGGAGAGTCCTGCACTCAGAGTTACAGGGTTTCCAGATAAACACAGGGCTCAGATGACAGAGGAATGAGAGGGTGCACGCTGGGATATTTAACATGGTGATGGAATGATGCTTTATTTCTTCTTTTGCTAGAATCGTGTTGTCTGAGTGGATGACACCACCTCACTTTTCATGTTACGAACAATGATAAAAACATGAGGCAGACATGATTGTTACGCTACAACTTCAACAAAACATTTCAGCCGTCTCAGTGAGATGGATCCTGCTCACAACAGCATGTTGTTGCTATAGCTACAGCTTGGCAAACGCAATCTAGGGACCCCTTTACCCCTTCCTGAATTAATTAACAACATGAGCATATTTAAAAGAGTATGGAGAAGAATTTTGTATCTGAGCCAATTCAGGTGTAAATATTGCATTTTCCATTTAAGTGCCTCTTAATTGTTCTAGTTATTTTCACACCAATTACTGAAACAAATAGTTCTTTGGAATGTAAAATCGTTTTTTCCTTGTGATTCACTCCAGTGCACCTCAGATTAAAGCAAATTGTTCCAGGAAAAAAAAAAACATTCTTAACCTTCCATTTGGTAGTAGATTTATTATACATGAATTACATAGCCTGAGGCTGGCCAGCCTAACAGCTCTCTCAGGCCTGTTTGAATTGTAAAACACAGCACCTGTCACGCTTTATTTCCTCATCTCCTTTTCACTTTTTTTTTTTCGAGGACATGGCACAAAATTTTTTATAGCCCAAACAGTGTAGTGTAGAAGTTTAATAAGTTTAATAAGTATACATATGCAGAGACACATTCAGTGAGCAGAAAACATACAGTTATGAATATTAAAGTGCATATGCACATGGACTACTGCATGTCAAAGATTCTGCTCATAGGCACACTCAAAACAATAGGTGCACTCAAGCATAAACATTTTACATGCATACATGCACACACACCACACTGGTTGAAGCTTCTTCATCGTCATCATTTGAAGGTGGTGCAGTGGCGCTACCATCTGCGTATGTAGTGTATTACACAATTTAGGACAGTCCTGCTGGTCTGCCGCACAGTAGAAAAAGACATTATTCTTAATATACCATATATATACATCCATATGTTTTATATGTCATATTCCCTCATTTATATAAGCAAGTGGGTCTGTAGAAAGTTTCCGCTAGTATTGGATATTTCTTTCTTAGCAAAAATGGATAAATGCTGAGCTTTATTGTGCAGCAAGTCTTATTCATTTTGGATACTTTTATATGGCCTGAAGTTGACCAGAAGCACCCATTTAAATAGTATATAGGCCTTTATACTTTATACTTTATCTAACATACTTGAGACACAATAATTCAGCTCAAGGAGACAACAAGAGATTCAATCAATCAATCAATAAATCAATACAAATGTATTTGTATAGCACCTTTTTATACAGTTTAGTGCAGTTCAAAGTTCTTCATAGATGACTGACAAGACAATAATAAGACAGAATGGAATAAAAACTAAGGTAAATGTAAAAATAAAACTATAAAAATCACAATAAAGTAGATTTTACATGTATAACAATGATGTTTAATAAAATCTGTACTAGAAAAAGATTATTCTTTTAATTTAAATTACTCTACACATGCAAAAACAAAAACCACACACTGTAAACTCGTCCTCCATCCCAAGATCCTAAGCAGGAGTGGAGTTTGTAAGGGATGGGGGATGGTCTGAAGGTGTGTACGTGTTTGAGATCAGGAATCAGAAAATTGTTTCCTAAAGTTCGGGCAGGCTGCTTTTTGTAAACGTCTGGATTTAAATTTCTCTAACATTTTTTGTTAATTATTAAAAGCATGTAAATGATCAAAGTGCTCGTGTAGACCTCCCCTCTCCACCACCACTCACAAAATAAACAGAAGCACACATTTAACAGAATCACTGACTCCCTCACTCTGTGTTAAACAATTAACACGTGTACCCTAAATACAGACCTAAACACCACATCTGGAAATAAAATCAAGATCGATCTTATTGTTTTATTCAGAAGTTGGAGGAGGGTAAACTTTAATAATAACCTGTGTTTTAATCCGTAATGTCACTAAATTCACATTATCTTTTAAAAACAAGTCAGCACTTAAACTCAATACTACTTTTGATGCGTTGGCAAAACATTTAAACAAAAAAAAAAAAAAAAGAATGATCAGCGCTCAGATTTCCGATCATTTCAGGACAAAACACGAGTTCTACGTGCGCTACGTGTCAGCTGAAGCTCCCATTCACGTCAATGAATCTTTCATCATTTCTTTCTTTCCCAAAAACTATTGTGTAAATCGTGTCGATGAATTGGCCTGTCGGTATATGGTTGTTTGAGTCCATATTTGACAGTGAAATGACTTTAGAAAGAACATAAATCTGTGTGTGTAAGTTTTGGTTGGGGGGTCGACCGCCTGCAGGGATTGGGGGGGAAATCTGGCCTTTGCCTCATCAAAGGGACCTAAAATGTTACCAGGCAGGGTTAGGGAGCTGAGAACGTGAGCTGAAACCTCATTGGTTAAGAAATACAGTGGGAGGGGCGTTCAGGCTTGGGGTATTTAACGCTTTGTTCCATTGTTGCGGAGTGTGTTTTCCAGCTGGTCTGGCTCAGGGGGAAGGGGGTCCGACACCATTGCACTTCTTTCTTTTTTTTTTAACAACCGGATCTTTTCCTTTTGTTTGTTTGTTTGTAAAAAATGTCTTTTTCCTGCAATAACTCTTTGGACGGCAGCTTTCCTCCGTCTCCGGCGGAGGACAGGGGCTCCAAGCGGCTGTCCTGGGGCAGTCTGATGCAGAGGCTGACAGAGCTGAAGGGGATCAATCACAGGGTCGCGGCAGATCCTCAGTGCAGCAGGAGTGAAACTGGTGAGTAGTGTAGCTTTTGTCTCAGGAGGCTCTATTGTCTTTTAGTTTGGATGGATTCACATTGTAACTAAGGGTGCATGGACTGACAGAACAAAGGGGTTATGGGAGGCAGATGCTTTTACTGATGGTCTCCTTTTTTCTACAGTGAGTCCTGCACTACCAGACAAGACTTTAACCTGTGTTCTTTTGTTTTAGGATCTGTGGCAGACATGTCCCTGTCAGAATCAGACAGCAGTTTCTTCTGTTATCCCCTGGAGGAGACCTTGGCTACAGAGGTTGTAAGAACCATAACACAAAGTCTCAACGATGCATCAGACACCCTGGGCTGCTCCAAACTCGTCCTACCTGACTTTCTTCTGCACAATATCAGCCAAGAGCTGCTCCACTTGGCTCTCAGCGAGCCATGCGGCCTCAGAGGGGCGCTCATTGACCTGTGTGTGGACAGGGGGGACCTGGGCTCCCTGTGTACTGTGGACCAAATAGCAGTGGATGCAACCCTGGTCCCAACCTTCCACGTGACCCTGGTACTGAGGCTCGAGTCCAGTGGACTGTGGCCAAAAGTTCAGAAGCTCTTCAAGGGAAGCAAATCACCGCAAACACCTTCAAGGCCCCGAAACACTCTGAGGCTGAGTACGAGCTTCAGGGCTATCAAGAGGAAACTGTACTGTTCAGGGGAGCTGCTGATTGAGGAGTGCTGCTGACCAAACGCTCCTGCCCCTGATAAGAAGAACTGAATTCATTCATTCATGTACTGAGAGAGGATGCATTGTCTTTTTTATTTTAAAGACAACATATCCTGGCTCAGAAGTCAAATGGCACTGACAAAGATAGTTCTGAAATAACACGTACTTGTCTCTGTTGGTGTATTTTGTGTGTGTCAAGGTTTACTGGAGCCAACTTATCTCTCATGGCAGCTACTAACCTATTTGTAGGTGACTTAACAGTGAAGACTCATGTTTGCACATGGGTCAGTGTCTTTCACAAGAATGTAAAGTCCCATTATTAAGGGAACGGCTTATGTATTTGATAGTCAAATATGACCTGAAACTTGTGTGTTTTGTATTTTTCAAGGACTTAAGCAAACAAATAAATTATTTTCTATTAATTTGCAGTGAGAGTTTTCTTCTAACTAATCAGCCATCAATGATTTATTAAGAAAGCACATTGAGTGTGTGTGTGTGTGTGTGTGTGTGTGTGTGCCTGCATGTTTGTAGCTATGCTCGTGGTGTGGCCCTAAGATGGAAATGTCTGTTGGTCCACCTCTTTGGTCCAGACTGAAATATCTCAGCAACTATTACATGGAGGAGAGGATGAATCCTAATGACTTTACCAGCAGGTTCACATTAGTGGTTTTTAGAGTAAAATGTCTCAACAATTATTGGATGATTTGCCATTAAATTCAGTACAGACATTCATGTCCTCAGGATGAGCTGTAGTAACATTAATGATCCTTTAACTTTTCATCTGGCGCCATCATCAGGTCGAATTGTGTCCAATACGTTGGTTTCAGAACAAATAACTGCACAATCAATGACAAACCCCCGTTGGCCTTGGCTGTTTAGTGCTTATTAGCAGATATTAGCATGCGAACACATTCAACTTAGATAACAAACATGATAAACATTATACCTGCTAGTACCAGCATGATGGCATTGTCATTGTAAGCATATTAGCATGCTGACATAGCAAGTACAGTCTCACAGAGCATGGCCGAAGAGAAAATATGCACCAGTCAACCATTGGACAAATTTAATTAAAAGAAACTTTCATACCGTTTTAGCATGTTAATTTAATAAATATGGTTTACTTTTATTTGTGCAACGATTTTCAATACTCATGATCCAACAGGCTACAAGCAAATCCACATAACATTAAAGTAAATGATATTAACTTCAATAAACCCTGCACTGTTAAAAGTAAAATGAATATTTACATTGGTAAGAACTATAAAAATTACACACTTTCCTTGTGAGTGGCTCAGACATCTGTCTATGAGAAGGCCATGAGGTTTCTCAAAATGTTAAAAGGAAAAACAAAAAGACTGGGACAGAGAAAGCTTATCTTAGCAGCTTTGTTTACCGTTCAAATAGACAACTATGCTCTTACTTTCCACCGTGACGCCAAGCGGACTCTCACCATCCTGAAGACACTAGAGTAAGAAAATGTCAGCGGCCATCTCAAAGCTTCTCACAGTTCTACAGGAAGTCAATCTACACCAAGTTGCAGAGAGGTTCCCTGATGAGGTCTGCTGCCCACTGCACGTAAGGCATTTTTGATTCTCTTGGTTTGCTGCAGAAATATGCTCCAATTTTAAGTGGGCTCAGACCGATTTCTTCTAATTAGATTCAAGTACCGATGAACCTAAAAAAAAGAGAAAAAATAATCAATGATAAGTATGCAGCGGTCACTCCACACAGGATGAACCTTTATTGGATTCCTATACGTGCACAGACAGCCAAACAAACGCCACACAAACACTTATCACTTGTGCAATGCTCAGTATCAGTGGAAATACAGTAAATTCTGCATATATAAACCAATTAACTACTACTTTTTCTAATTTCACATAGCTCTTCACCATTTATCAAATCATAAAATAAGTTTTTTTAAAAATATATTTCCTTCCTTTCAGGCAGCCAAATCCAACTAACAAAGACTTGACCTTTGCTCAGGATAGGTAATCCTTCACAGTGACCCATCAGTTGCCTTTATTGATGCCTTTTTATTGGTCAAAGTTCTGTCAGCACACGGTAATGCAGTTGTGAGCGGGGCCCATTTTAAAAACTCTCCTTGTTGGTCTAGTAAAGTGCTTGTGGGAAAACCCCGACATTTGAGACAACCCAGCTGACTCTTTAATATCAGGTGTCAGTCCCTGCTTGTAACTGCATTAACATGTGTCAATAGGTTAACTGAGAAAGACAAAGTGGACTAAAAGCTCGCTGTCGTGGATTACATATTGGAGGCAGGTGTTTTAATTCAAATGAATGGGGACGGCAGTCTGGAAGGTGGGGAATCAATCCAAAAACATGGTATGTTTTTAAGAAAATGTGTGTAATGTGTAGATTGTGGGATAAAACGTGCAAAAGACTGGAGTCTTTGCAGTTCACGTACTGTATACAGAAGCAATTATATCGTAATGTCACTGTGATGTTTGTGGCAACTCACCCGTATGTGTGCAAGTGGTTTCTAGCCATCCAATATAACCTGAATCTCCGATAGTCTGGAACAGCTGGGAGTCCCCATTCTCTGTGCCCTTTGGTACAACTCAGAATCCCCGAAGTAACGAGCACGATACAGCAAGCCTTCCTCTGAAAGTACATCAGGGCAACGTGTCAGTACGCCGGGTCTCAATCAACTACTCCATAAATATGAAATGAAACGATTCAAGTGTGAAATTATTCCCTTGGAAGCTGTCGTAATGAATTTCCGAAAGTGTTTTATTTAATTTCAACAATAAACTAATAACACACCTGACATGAATAGTTGACTAATAAGCAGACAGTTAGATCAGCGACAATGCTGATAATTGATTTATCATTTAAGTCAGTTTTTAAACAAAAAATGCAAGAAAATCACAGGTTCCAGCCTTACAAACTTATTTGCTGGGTTTTTCTGTCTTTTCTGATAGTAAATTGAATATCTTTGGATTAAGGACTATAGGTTGACAAAACAAGCATTTAAAATACGGGCTGTGTGAGATGGCGACAACAACATTTTATTGACCAAACGAGAAAATAATCAGCAGATTGATCAAAAATAAAATACTGCAAACTTACTCTGCTGCTTCTCCTTCCAACAATTGTTTCTGAGGTTGGAGATATAGTCTTCTTCTACGCTTCTCTCAACATTCTTCAGGTTATTCCCAGAAAATTCTTCATTGAAGCGGTCTCCCACGTAGAAAGGCACCTTCAGGCTTGATGTATGCCTTTTGTGAATATGTCCAGCTGACCTGATGGACAGAGAAGATATAACTGAGTGAGACAGATGTCAAGACATTTTCAATCAACCTCAGAAAGCTCTTTGAGAGCCGAACCACTTACGGGCGGTAACTAAGGCTGTAGGGAGGCTGGGTGACCATCATCTGACTGAGAGCGGAGACAATGATGAGGATTAAGATTGGCATCAACTGGACAAACAGAGCCAGACCTCCCTGTCCACACAGAACAAACATTTGATTATGGTTTAATTACAGATCATACAGTACAACTGGTATAAAGATCAAGTGTAATTAAAGTATTACAGACAGGACTTACATCTCTTTGTTGTTCTCGTCTTTCTGGCCTATTATGGTGTGCAAAATGCATTCTTCCATTTCTGTAAACGTGTACGTTACCTAGAAATAATTTTAGAAAAAAAAACCCATTAAAAACCAGTAATGTGGCACTCACTAGTGCTGCGCTTCTAAACCATGTGAAATTAAGACCCAAGATCAATTACAGAAGCGGATTATCACACATTCAGCCTGAGAGAAGGAAGTGTTTTTTACCAAGGTTGGTCAAGCAAACCATGTTATTTGGTTAGATGGACTGCATGACACAATATGAAAACTACCAGTGAGGTCAACAGTGCCTCTTTGCAAAAACATTACTTGGAGATAAACACGTAAATATATAAAAATAAAGCTGGAGTTGACTTTCATTTTTTAAATAACACTCAGGTTATGCAGAACACAGTTAAGAAGGATGCCTTGATCTCATATTAAATGGGTAATTAAGGTGTGTAAACATTGCTTTAAACATGAAAACCTCGATAGCACTGCACCACAGTACAACAACGTCCAGGCTGACCCAACAATTAATCTGGCCTCTACTTACTTGACGGGAAGCCTCCACCAAAGAACATGTTGAAGAGGTCCTCGGGTGAGATGTCCGCTTCAAAATCACGCTGGTGTCTGTGTCTTGTTGGGTGTGATCTCTCCTCTCCATACTGGTCATACTGTCTTCGTTTCTCAGCATTACTCAGCACGGCATAGGCATTACCAATAGCTGAAAGACACAAAAAAACCACACAGAAATTTGCACTTAGTAGGCTTAAATGTACACGTCCTCCATAGAACAGCACTGGAGATTACTTTTAATTTACCTTTAAATGCCTCTGTGGCTCCTGGTGCGTGATTTTTATCTGGGTGAAATTTCAGAGCCAGCTTTCTGTATGCCTTTTTAAGATCCTCCTCAGAGGCGGTCTTTTCAACACCCAGGATTTGGTAATAATCTTTACAGCTCTTAATCCTGCAAAGAAAAATAAATAAACAAATAAATTGCTTGGACAAAGAAACACAACATGTAGATACATTCTCGGGACAATAAATACCTCATCGGGTTAACAGTACTGACACAAACAAACAGCTATGAGCTCACCGTATAATAATTCTGGGATTATCACATTAAATGTTTGCATGTTTACAGTATTTCTGAGAATGCAGTTTGCTTGCTTTTAAATTTAATATCGGATTGTGGTATTCATTGTCATCACAACACATATGATCGTAAAGGCAGGACTAAAATAAATATAATTGACTGCTCCAGCTCGGTGACATGAACAATCAGTGTTTCTCCAACCCTGCATAGATTGAATATGGTACAGAATATAATCAATACTGATATCATGGTAGAGCCTGTGTGTAGCCTGTGCTACTTAATATAGTCAGTTCTACCGTGTCGATTGTAGTTCAATGTAGCGACGTTATCACTAAAACAAAAGCTCAGATCCACATGTGCACTTACTTTCTGACAGCTTCCATTTGCTCTGCAGTGTAAGGTTTGGCCGAGTCTGTGGCCCCCTGTGCGGACACATCAGCCTCCTCTCCGTGGCCTCGGTGTCTCATAGTGGGTCCGTTTCCGTTCACAGGACTGCCATTTTCATCCGGAGGCTTTCCATTCTGCGCTAAAGACTCCAATAGGTCTGTAAAGAGAGCAGAGCCAGCTGTATTATTCAAGGGTGCCACCTGAGTCTGCTTCGGTATTAGCTTCGGTCAGTTAGTTAATTCACTAGCATCGAGAGCTAACGCCTAGCACTGCTAGCAAGGACGTCGAGGGTGTAAAACGCGAATAAGCAAGCACCAATTTAAGACATTAAGTCAGCAAATATATTACAGATATCGAGGGTGGGGGTGAGGAGGAGGGGGGGGGAGCTGGAAAAAAAACTACAACTACCAGCGTCGGTTGGGAGCAGCTGGTGTAACGTTAAGACGGTTATGCTAACGTTAGCTGATTGGGTTTCACAGCGATGGCCGACCGTCTGACACATAAAACAACCTCAGAGGAAATCAAACCCAGAGGAAATCAAACCCAGAGGAAACACGTTTATTCGACCTACTTTTTGCCTCATCTGTCGGAAACAATCGCTCGGCCTTCTCCAGAAACTTCCTGGCTTTGTCCTGCTGATTGCTGTCGATCGCAGTTTGGGCTATTTTAATGCACCGCTCCGCTTCGTCCTTGTTTGAGTCCATCGCGATACAGCGGAAATGTTTACTTGCCACAGGCCGCACGGAGATGACGCGAGACGCTCTCTGACTCGTAAATACCACGTCATGTCATTGGATTGAACCTTCAGCGTGCGCTTGACATCCGGATAAAAGTGCATCGTTAAAACGTGATATAGAAAGGAACAGGTGGTAGTTTTAATATATTCAGCGTCTCCGTGATACTAGCTGGCACTTGCAGCATCCTCAGACACACCATTAGACCTGAAAGAAAGTCAGAATGGCTTTGACAGCTACATGCAGCAGGTCAGGCTTTGTCAAACGCAAGTTTCTGTATTGGAGGCAAACCAACAGTCTGTTGTTTTCAACTAATGACTCTATTGTAGCTGACCGAGGGAAGCCCTCATCAAAGAAACGGTGGAGAAAATGTCCCCAGAAACCTCCCTGGACTGATCCTCTGTCCTGGAATGAGAGGCTGGCTGATGTGGTCACCCCTCTGTGGAGGCTGACTTATGATGAGCAACTTGAGCTCAAGCAAAAGCACCAGGAAAGGATACTGTCTCAGCTCTGTGGTTATCTCTCAGGGGATTTACATTCACAGCCCCCATCACCTGTCAGAAGTAAACTCCGATTTCCTGTCCTGACTGTCCTGCCGTCGCCAGTTAGAGATGGCTATCGCAACAAATCTACGTTTTCTGTCAACAGAGGCATGGACGGAAATCCAAAAACAGTTGGATTTTACGTGGGCACAAACAGGATGGGAAACATTGTCTGCGTCAACGGAGACCACCTGCTCAACATGCCTGAGAAGCACAAACTGGTAGCCAGGTGCTACCAGGAATTCATCCGCCTCTCTTCCCTGGAGCCGTGCCTGCTGTTCCACACTGGGGGCCACTGGAGGGAGATCACCGTGAGGACCAACACGAAGGGCCAGACCATGGCTATAGTGTACTTTCATCCCCAGATGCTCACCCCAGAAGAGGTGGCAGTCCACAAGGCTGAACTGGTGGATTACTTCATGCGGGGGCCTGGGTCAGTCTGTGAGCTGGACTCACTGTTCTTCCAGGAGAGCACCATGACTCGCTGCACTCATGAGGAATCCCCCTACGAGCTCCTGCATGGTCAACCACACATATACGAGGAGGTAAATATACGCCATCAGGGCAAAATGACAGAGAATCTGTAAAGGACTTCACGTAGCCTACAGCAAACATTGTAATGTAGTGTTTACTTTTTTACACATGCTAATCTCACTGTAAAGTGTTTTTAAGCCTGTGATACTTTTATTCTGTTGCTAATTTAATAGTTGCGTTAAAATGAAACAATCCTAGAGAAATAGATTAGAGGCAAATGTTTCCCCAAATAAGCCAATTTTCAACATTAGAAATTATACTGGAGCAATATGATATATCCCTTTTTAAAGCTAATATCAACGTGTCAGATATATCTGTAGATCCCAATCAATATCAAACAATTCACAATTTACTCCATAAAATGTCGACAATACTGACAAATGCCCCTGAACGTTATATTTTATTAATCTTTTATGTTATTCTATGACTTTGTTTATCTTTTTCTATGTGTGCTGCATTAAGGAACTACAATTTTAATTTCGTCATACAGCCTTTACTTGTGTAATGATGAATGGATTTCTTTGATTCCTTGAGAAGAGCATGTAGTAAAAAATCTATGTATGCCTGTTTTTTAATTGCTGTTGCTATGTTTTTTTTCATATGTCATTTACAGGTGCTGGGCTTCAAGTTCCGCATTTCTGCCGATGCCTTTTTCCAGGTGAACCAGGCAGCTGCTGAGGTGCTGTATGGCAAAGTGAGAGACTTGTGCGTCCCAAACCATGAGGAAGGTGAAGGGAGAACAAAAGTGGGTGGTACTCTCCTAGATGTGTGCTGTGGCACAGGTGCCATTGGTATTACTACATCACCCAGAGTGGACAGAATTATTGGTATAGAGCTCATTGAACAGGCAGTGGAAGATGCTAGACACAACGCAGCTCTCAGTAATGTACTGAACTGTGAGTTTATCCCCGGGAAGGCTGAGGTGGTGCTTCCTCGCCTTATGTCTCAGTTGAGCTCGGCCGGTGGAAGCGTTGTGGCAGCTGTGGTAAACCCTGCTCGAGCTGGCCTGCACCATAGTGTCGTCCAAGCTTTACGAAACCAAACTTCTATCCGCAGGCTGGTCTATGTTTCCTGTAAACCGGATGGAGAAGCTATGAGGAACTTCAGGGAGCTTTGTTGTGCTCCTGACCCACGGAAGAAACTCACAGGAGAGGCATTTTCTCCAACTCTGGCTGTGCCTGTGGATATGTTCCCACATACTCCTCACTGCGAACTGGTGCTACTTTTTGAGAGGTAGCAGATTCTTTTTATTCAGAGGAACCCTTCAACAACTACTCTGCTTTAGAAGGCTAACAAGGAGTTGAATAATGATAATGATAATGCATCTACAATAAACTTACATCCATGGTACACCCACACAGGTTAACTATGGGTGGAGGATTAGGTTTTAGATTGAGTAGACCTCCTATAAGGATTGTGAAGTAGGTCTGATTGATTAATCTATTAATTCTTTTGATTAATCATTTGGCGTATAAAATATCAGAAAATAAACCCTGCAACGAACACTACTCTTGTAAAGCTTAAAGGATATGACTGTGTCAAAGAGATGTTCATTTGATTGTGTGGTATTCTTTGTTTCCACATGTAACTAAATCTCACAAGATTTGAATCTGGAAACCTCTCATAGTGCATCTCTTTGTCTGCCATGTGGTAGCTATATTTGTGCAGTAGAGGGTGCCATTAAATCTAGCAAATATCCCATTCACTCCAGTTTATTAAAGATCATATCAAGACAAGTTTACTGTATGAGTGTATGGGTTTTTTCCCCTCAGAGTTTACTACAGTTTATGTGATCATACATTGGAACAAGATTGCTTTGGCTCATGGGATGTTATTTTATCTCTTGAGTGACTTAATGGGATGATGATACGCATGCATAAAAATGTGAAGGCTGTGCCAGCAATTTAACCAACATTTTGAACAGATGTGAATATATAACAGGTAAGTATCTTTTTTATTGTGGGAAAGTGTCCTGTATCTACCAAAAGGAGCAGAGTTGGACACAACCATGTCAGACTAGACTTGTTTTTGTAATATTTAACTGAAGCTTACAAAACTGCAAAATTGCTGTTTAAAAGGCACGCTGTCTGTACTATTTTGGAAATGGCTGACATGCCAGACCAGTGGGGTTAAAGGGTAAAATCATGACTCACACAAAAATATGAAGGCTGTGTCAGGGTTTCCAGAAAGACTGGGAAATTAAGTTGTTTCACCCCTACAGCACTGCCAGGGTGCTGGCAACGAGCAGTTGCATATTTTACTCCTTTGTGCTTCTGTTGTGGCAAACTTGACATAACCAAAATGTTAAAAGGTAATGCTTCCACAACAACCACACATTCCCCTTTGACTGCGCAACCAGTGAGTTTGGCTGCAAGCTCAATCTCACCTCCACCTTCATAGACCTCATGTGCTCCCTAGGTTGGGCCAAGGAGGGTGTTAGGTTGAGAAATAAAAATGATTTCTTGCATGGTGACTGCAGTTACAAAAGTTGTTTGCTTTAATTAATGATTTGGTATATAAAACTATCAGAAAATGGAGCCCATGTGAAGTTTTCAAGTTGCTTATTTTGTTCAACCAACAGTCCAAAATGTAAAGACATTCAATTTACAATGATATAAAACAGAGAAAAGGTGAGTTGAGAAGTTGGAACCGGCAATTGTTGTTGGTATTTATTTTTCTACTGATTGACTAATCTGTGGTACTGTATGGACATGTACTGCTAGACTGACAACGCCTTCACTCACTTGTTTGTTTAGACACCCTACACCATTATCTTGTGAGTTCATGACGTTTGGTGCCCTCACATAATACCTTTTTAAACACTAATTAACCTAAAAGATTAAAAACACCTGTGTGGGTGTGCAGGGCCTTTGAACCGTGTTGTTGGATGTAGTTTTTCTGCTGTTTTACTGCAGGGGGTGGAAAGTACTGTGCAATCTAGTACACAAACCCTCCAATAAATACAACTCTTGCCAAGCTTACAGTATAATATTAGTTATAATTGTTAAATTTTAAATGTAGCCAGACTAAACTTCACAAGCTCCCCTTTCGCTACGAGATCTGAGTCTTGAAATAACCGGTCTTGTCGTAGTGCATCTCTTTGTCTGCCCTGTAGTAGCTATATTTGTGCAGTAGATGGTGCCATTACAACTTCTTCTGAACCATTTTCTAACCCCTTCAGACCCGCCTTATGTTCCAAGGTTGTGAAAAATATAATAATGACTTTTTCCCATCCTTAATGCAACCAGAAATGAGAATCAATAAAAACATTTTTTTTTATCAAAACTCTTTAATTGTTATTTTTCTTGTCCATTTCAATGGACATCGGGTCCAAACAGTTGTTAAAATACCAACATCATATGACAACATCATACCTATTTATTGTCTGTTAAATGTTGCAAAAAAAGAAGCCCCTGTCAAGTGACGTCCATTGTAATGGACACAGGGTCTAAAGGGGCTAAGGCAACATCCCATTCATTCCAGTTTATTGAAGGTCATAACATAATGGGTGGGCAGTATGAGTGGCCAAGTTTTGTTCCTGAGAGTTTACTACAGTTTATGCGATCATGCATTGGAACAAGGTGACCTTTGGCTGACGGGATTTGTTTTTATCTCTTGAGTGAAGTAATGCGATGATGATACTCATGCACAAACATGTGAAGGCTGTGCCGGCAAATTTAACCCACATTTTGAATATATAACAGACAAGTATCTTTTTTTAATGAGGGACACTGTACTGTATCTACCAATAGTGGGGATATTTTGGCCAGAGTTGGACACAACCATGTCAGACTAGACCTGTTTTGAAATATTTGGCTGAAGCTGACAAAACAGCAAATAATTCAGTTAAAAGGGCCCACTGTCTGTACTATTTTGGAAAAGGCTGACATGCCAGACCAGTGGGGGTAAAGATTGCAATCATGACTGTGGTCATTACTGTATGACATCATGGTGTCAGACAAGTTGACCTGTGTGTACCTCTTGCAGTATTTCATCAGATCAATGAGTCAAATTAAGATCAAGATTGGGCAACTGCTATTGATCACTTGTGATAAGACTATCTGATGTTTAAAAAAACGGAGGGTGGTAAACAGGCTGTTAAGCAAACAGCCAATGGGATATTCAGAGCAGTGGCATTCATTTCCCAACCACCAACTGCTTAAAAACGACATCAGAATAGGCAGAAAGAGTACTTCAGTAACCGGGCATCTACCTGTGTTACCAGCCTTTTTACTGCCTCTTTCTGCATCTACTCCTGGATCGCCTGCAGCTTTGGTACCCTCCTGTATAGTGAAGTTGGAGAGCACACGGTGAGTAGTCTCAACCTGGGTGAGCTGCATTTAAATCAAACTAATTTGAATTTTACATTTTCACAATGATGCCAATGTCATATGCAAATTCTAAATGATAACTGACTGGTAATATGTTGCTGCTCTGACACCGACATAATACTGACATAATGCCGGTGTGACTAATGCCTGCACATCATATAAATTAAATGCTGTTCCACTGACGTGCCACTTGAATGCACAAGAATTTAAGAAGTTTTATTTACTTTTTTGTTCATTAAATATGATACAAATAGACATGATATCATGCCCATTGGCATACAGTTCTCTAACATTAATGCTCAAACTTTGTACAATAAACTCACTTAACAGCTATCTAAGCTTGGCTCAGTGGTTCTCAACCTGGGGCCAGGACCTAGGGTTGCCTCGATTTTAAGAAAACTTTAAATAGGTAGGCCTATACCTCAGCACTTTATTCATTTCTGTGAGGAAAACTAAATGAAATAGTTATTCTAAAGTTTAAATTATTATTCAAAATATAAACTTTGAGGACCTGAACATGCTTACATACTGCTACACAGCCTCATCCTGCATTAAAACAATGGATATCAGGGAGAAAAAATACAGAATTTGTCAAAATGGAAGCCTAATAATAATAATGTATTATTATAAAAAAAACAAAAAAACAACACAGACTGGATTGTATAGAAAGTTAATTGTTCTTCCCCCCCCACAAACTTCCTGCTGTTACTGTGCTCGCTGCTAGGGTTCATCGTGCTGTTGAGTATAATATGAAATATGATAATGACAGAAAATGGTCGGAAACCACAGACCTACTTTTGTACAACGTTAATGGAAACCCAGTGACTATCAGCTCCCGGAAGAGGCTATCTATCTACCAGCGTCTACCACACACACACACACACACACACACACCCTTGGTCAACTTCATATATGAACGTACTTGTTTTAACTCAAACCATTATATTGTCATTAACACCAACTCGTTTTGGTGCCTAAGTTAAACCTAACCAAGACTGCAACCGTTTTTCGAGGGTGTGTCATGTACCCAGGATGTGTTGTGGTAACATCGCTGTGCCCCCCCCGCAGACACACCTGTTTGGGTTACAATGTAGCATTGGCACTGTTCACACAGCACTTTTACCTGTTGTTCCACAGTGGCATCTACCGGTGGAAAAAACCTCCACAACGGTACCGGCTCCATGCCCCATGACAGTTAGTTAAGAGGTGGCATCGTGGCAGTGGTGGAGTCCGATTTCTTGTTATCGAAGTGGCATACAGATAATCGACATATGACAATAAACGGGGATCTACGCATTTAATAATCAATCATTACTAGGATATGTTGATGTGACTCGGTATATGGCGGTGGTATAAGTTATGGCAGCGCAACATGAGCTACTTACCGTTTATGGTTAAGATAGTATAAGTTCCATAAACCAGTTAAATAACAGTGACATAACAAGAACAAGCGTTGCACGCTTTTTGGCCACTTTACGATTCCGGCGCTGCTGGGGAGTTTTTTTTTTTGCCCGCAGGCTGCTCACATGTACTCCATGAGCCGCCGTACTTCCCTCTTGTTTCTGCATCCCGCTGTACGCAGTTGACTGAGCAACATCTCTCTCTCTCTCTCTCTCTCTCTCTCTGACTCTCTGTCTCTCTCTGTCTCTCTCTCTCTCTCTTTCTCTTGTATTTTACTGCTGCGCACTGCTGTTACAGAACCACTTCAGCAAAATGACCGAAACGGAAACGAGGAATCATCACGATGGCAAGCAGCAGAACGGAGGCGCCACGGCAGAAGCATCGACGGTGGAGGATGTTTTTGACGACGCCTATAAGGAGAAAGAGGGTCCTAAACCGCCGAGGATGCTGGTGTGGAGAAATATCATATTGATGAGCCTCTTACATATCGGTGCGCTTTATGGACTGGTTCTCATTCCCAATGCATCGACGTCAACTCTTGCATTCAGTAAGTATCTGGTGTATGTTGTAGCAGGCTTAGTTTTGCAGCTTTTTTGGTTGATTTTTTTCCTCCCCGTAGGCCACAGTCGGAGGACAGAATGTGCTGATGTTGTGTGATCATTGCCAACTACAGTACTACATACTGCCTGAGGGGTCATGCCTATGGGTATAATGGAGAATGAGTCACTCTGGCCATTTTTTTTCATTATACGCATCCATGCTTGTAAGCTTCTAAATCAGTTGAGTCTCTTCTTCAAGAGCTCAAACCTGTGGCTGATTGTAAACCATTGACAGTACGTTGAGAACTGTTTAGGCCTCTTGGAAGGTGTAGCATGTCCCAAATTAGAGTTATCTGTATGTCAGTGATGATAGCAGCTGTTTGCTGAATAATGAGACTCTAAACTCTATATATGTAGACTAGTGAGGCACTACTCAAATCCCTGAATAGTCTCCACTTGTTTTCCTTCAGCTGTGGAATAATTTTCTCCTATCTTTGCGATGCTGAGCTTCATATTATTTCACAGAGGAAGAGAGCGAGAGCAACCACCATTCCCATAGTCATCCCATTTTGGGAGGTGTAGCATGTCAGAAAAATGGAAGTATGTGAATTTCAGTGAAAATAGCAAACTGTTTACTAAATAATTAAAATCTAAACCCTATATATGACTATTGAGGCATGGCGCAAATTCCTGAACAGTCTCGACTTGTTTCGACTCTGGTACTGCATAATTTTCCCTCTCTTTGCAATGCTGAGCTGCATATTATTTCACCGGGGAAGACAAAGCACAATTGCCATTCCCATAGTCATCCCATTGTGAGCTGCGTGGCACCACAACAGAATGCTCTTTGCCAGTCAGAAGCCCCCGGTTCTCAAATCCTGGGTAGTCTTGTCTAGGCTTCACATAGAAACACATTCAGCAGTTTTAGAACAACAGAAGTGTGAGGACAGACCTGCGCACTCCCACCATCCCATCTCCCCACATAGATAACTTTTCTCTGAACAAAGAGGCCGGGGGTGTAATGGAAAGAACATGGTGTCCCAGTGACTCTGCTCTCATGGGTGTAAAATTAATTTGAGTGTAGTGGTGACAGTTTTCCCTAAGATCTATCCTTTCCACCTCTCTTTCTTCCAGCTGCAGTGTGCTACATGTTCAGTGCCCTCGGTGTGACTGCTGGTGCACACAGATTATGGAGCCACAGATCCTACAAGGCTACACTTCCCCTGAGGGTCTTCCTTGCTCTTGGCAACTCCATGGCCTTTCAGGTAAAACAGCACTAAACAAAAGTTATAATTACATAAGTAAATATTACTGTTTGGACTCCGCTCAAACAGTTTGACCTTTACAGTGTAGAATGATGCATGTGCAGAGTTTGACACATCACACACATCTGCTGAATGAGGAAAATGTACTTTTGGTCACCTTAAATTTGAGTAGGTTGGGAGTCAATAAGTGGTCCAGTATGCAACTTATGTGTGATGTGGAAAAGGAGTAGATATCATTTCAAAACATGCCAAGAGGGGATCTTATAGCTATCTTAATGCTTTATATTGATCACATGTACTTGTTACAGCAAAACTACACAAATAAAGTGTAAATGGTATGGTTTTCAAATAATTATGTATAATGTCAGTGATATGCATTTATTGTTTTGTTGCCCTGTGTTCCCTGACCTTAATCTGATGATCTGAAACTCACATGCATATCTATGGGTGCCTAACGTAATCCTCTCTATTTATGCCTGTCTCTTTGTGAGCAGAATGACATATATGAGTGGGCGAGGGACCACCGCGTCCACCACAAGTACTCCGAGACGGACGCAGACCCCCACAATGCCACGCGGGGCTTCTTTTTCGCCCACGTTGGTTGGTTGCTGGTTCGCAAACATCCTGATGTCATAGAAAAGGGCAAAAAACTGGAACTGTCAGACCTGAAGGCAGATAAAGTGGTTATGTTCCAAAGAAGGTGAGCAAACATAACCTTTAACTGGCCATGTTGGTTTAAGTTCTTACATCTATGGATGACCTTTTTTCTAGTGTTTAACAAAGGTGAGAACAGTAGCAAAGTAGTAATACAGTAGTAATGTTAACCAAAGTTTGGGAATCTCTGACTAAGGAGCAGATCTACTGATAAGTGATGCTTTTTGCACCGGGGACCAAATCACAGTGTGCCACCTGTAGTGTCCGCAGATGGTCCAGACTGGAGATAATCATGTTGATATGTTTAGAATTTACCTCATAAAATGTAGCTTTACATTTGTGGGCTTTATGGGAACTGAGACAATGCAACAGGAAGTGAAAAAAGCATGAAAGTAGTAGGCAGTGCGTAGTATAAAATCTAGGTGCAGGCAGGTGTAAATATAAGTAATGCTAAAACTTAGATATTATATACTGAATAAACAGCTGGAGGTCTGATATGTATATGTTCAATGCACTATAAGTGTACAGATGTGTACAGTATAGACAATATTATAAACATGAATGCAATCTTTATTGTCTTCCAGGCACTACAAGCTCTCTGTGGTGATCCTTTGCTTCCTTGTGCCGACGTTGGTGCCCTGGTACTTCTGGGGTGAATCCTTGCTTGTGGCATACTTCATCCCTGGACTCCTGAGATACACCGTGATGCTCAACGCCACCTGGCTGGTCAACAGCGCTGCGCACATATGGGGCAACAGGCCTTATGACAAGACCATTAACCCGAGGGAAAACTCACTGGTTGCTCTCAGCGCCATAGGTAAGAAAAACAGCCTGTTCGTTGTTCACTGCAGTAGTGTGTTTATTCTGTATTTTGAATCCATAAGTAATTTGGGTAATCTAGTGTCTTTATGGGCCTGAGGGATATTTAAATGATATTTTCATCAGAGCTGGCTCTTTCAAATGTGATTGAGTCAGTCTGGCATCTGCAGTGGGACAGTGTGCTAATCCAGTGGCTGATGTTTATTTTGTCCTGGCTGTGTCAGTTTTAGCTTTGAAACTTAGAGGTGGTCAACCTTTGAGCTGTGGATTTTGTCATTGAAAAAAAAAAAAAAAAAAAAAAAATTTTAGACCATGATGTTTTTTCCCATGTCTCCAATGAGTCAAGGCTTTATTTGTGGTGGCTGACACCACAGAGGTATATTGCTGCAAACAGCACTGAGCATTCTTGGTTGCAAAACAGCACTAAATTCACAAGCTAACTAATGATTATACCAAAACCTTTCTTTTGGGCTTTCAACTGTATTTCCAAGAATGAACATTGTCAACCCCATTTCATCTATCTTAGCTGTGCTGTACCTAAATACTAGCAACTGTGAGAGCAAATGGAAAAAATGTATTGGAAACAATTATGTTCCCAAGTCCAATTTACACCTTATCTTACCAGTCTCACCTATTTTAATTAGATACTGCAGCTTTTCCATGTTATACTTGTTCCTAAGCGCTCAGAGCATCTGTAGTAAACACATTCTAAGTAAATGGAATAGTAAAAGACTGTAGCAGCTTATTATGGAAACATTTTAAAACTTAAGTTTCTAACCTCCATGTTCATCAACAAAAAAATAGTCTCATGGATTTTTTTTTACTACTGGGTACCGGAGATGTGAATATTCATAATGCTTTGTGGATGCACTCTGGAACAAAAACAGTGCGCTATAGTTTTAAAAATGATCCAAATGTATCCAACAAGTTGTGAAGAGTTCAGCCTGCAGAATTTTAAGCTTGTTTATGGGATGTTTTCTACTACAGTGCTCCGGGGGATTCATAGGTGTTGTAAAGCTGTGGGCACACCTCTGCTGTTACCACGACAACCAAACAACGTTATAGTAACTAACTGAGCACATCTGATTTTTCGTTGCTTGTAAATTACATTACTTGACAGTCAGCCTTTAAGATCTTCAAATCCAAAAATAAGTCCCTACTTCACTCTCTCCACTTAGCATCAAATCACATTATCAGTCACATGCAACCCACAGTTGTTTGTCAGTGTGCCACAGTCCTGTGATGTCGACAAACGAGTGCAGATTTACAGTATGATTGTTATCAGCCTCATCATATAGTATATTAGCTATGGCTGTGCACTCTTCATAAGTTTTTCTGTTTGGTTTTCAGGGGAAGGCTTCCACAACTACCATCACACATTCCCTTTTGACTACGCCAGCAGCGAGTTTGGCATCAAGCTTAATGTCACCACTGCCTTTATAGACCTCATGTGCGCCCTGGGTTTGGCCAAGGACCGCAAGAGGGTGTTGAAGGAAACGATTGCCGCTCGCAGGCTGCGAACGGGTGACGGAGGCTACAAAAGTGGTTGAGTCCTATTAGCTACAAACTCCGCAAATTGATACCAACATGTTGAACCAAGACAGAACGTAGCAACAGCAGCATTTCGGTGATGAGATGTGATTACCATGCTTCTGATTATAAGTTAAACCTATTCCTGAGACTAATATTGGCTTTAAAGAGTTGTAGAACTTTCCATAAATTGTGTGGTTCTCTTTTAAGTTTTGAAGTGTCTTCACCGACTATTAGCCGCAGCCAGTGACTTGACTACATGTGCAAGCACAGCTTTTTCACCATAATATAAAACAGGCAAGAAGAGATTTATAAAGGCTAATTGGGATTTAAGTCTCTTTTGGCAGCAGTAGGACAACCAAACAAGTGTGTGAGCGGTGTGTAAAAGCAGCAATTATTTACCGTATCTCTTCTTTGTTAATGTGCTATTTATTGATAGTTGTTGGCACGTTGAAAGCTATATTGAAGCCAACGAGGTTTCTTTACAGGCAAGATTGAGGGCCTTTTGCTCTAACTTCAAGTTTCATTCCACAGAGAGTGGAGTTTCCTCTTGATATTTGTTTGTCTATTTTAAGCTAAGGTTTTTCTTTATTTTTGGTAAGCTAGTAGTCTTACTAAACCATAAGCTGCCATGTTCAATGCCAACACCAAGACAGTCAACACTCTACTGAACTGTCCCCATTTATCCTACCTGAGTAACCCTGGGCGAATACAGTTCAGAAGTGTTATACTTTTGGATACTTTCACACACACACACACACACACACACACACACACACACACACACACACACACACACACTGTCTCCAAGTGTCTAAGGGGCTCCTAATGAGGATTAGGTTCTCTGGTATAACACAGTGTATACCTCTGGTTAAGTTATGAAGCCGTCACAGACTTCGTCATTAACCCTTTTCATGTAGACGCCTCTGGACTGAAACATAGAACCAGAATTCTCACTCTTAATCTGAAAAGAGAGAAATATTTGCATTTATTTTGTATTCATTTATTATATATATATCTATATATATATATATATCTATATATATATATATATATATATATATATATATATATATATAATATATATATTATATTAAGAGATAAGGCCTCCCTCGCCCTGAGATAAGGCTAATGAGGCATTTGGTGGAGGTGCATTTACCTTTTGTGCTGTGTGATTTCGAAACATGTATGACTCTTGCCCATATGCCTTATGAGGGTTGCTAACTTGTTTCAAAAAGTAAAAGTGCAAGTTATGGAACTAAATTAGGGTTAGGGTTCGATTTTCTGTCTAAACCCCTCAAAAACTGAAATCCAAAGTGGGATAATTTATAGATTCTAAAAAAATGATGGGTTACTACGATTATTAACTTTTGTGTGACCAAACAAATATTTTGCTCTAAAACCAGATCCAAACTTGTTAGGATATCATTAAGGATACTATTGTAGTATTTGTCACACGTCCTCTTTTACAGAGCAACAGTTTTTTACAGTGTTAACTTCTTGAAGTTTGAATGCCTTAAAAAATGGCACAGTTTTTTCAAAGAATGTTTTTGCCCACTGTATGTACCGTAAATAAACCAAATTTTCTACTTGTGAGAAAGTATGTTTTGCTGTTTTTGTTGGAATTCTGTAATACTCCCTATTCGTATACTGAATAAAAAATATGACCATACTATTTCTGTTACTTTCTTTATCAGTGACTATATTACACTATATTACTACTTAATCATCATCATTATACACTGTTATATTAACTATACTACAAAGAACTATTCAAAAGCAAGTACTGATGCAAGTACAAAAGTACTTTGCAAAGTGTGGCATGAAGAACAAAACAAGTCACTGTCAAATATAGAAACTATACTATAAATGCACACTTAACAGATACCAAAGATATATTTGAAATGTCAAGAAAGCACATGAGCATGTGTAAAGTAAGCTCAGTTTGCATTGGGTATTATACAAATTCCTTTAGTGCAGTAGCCTATAGTGACATATGGTATTGGCAGATCTTTACCCACAGTTGTGTGAATAATGTCTCTCTTATCTCATCTTGCTGCTGAAATAATGGAGCCGTGGCAACTCATCTGCCTTTCCTGTTTTTGGACTTGTTGTGCTTGTTAATTAACAGCCTTGTCTTCTTCGTCTACATGCCTATGGTGATGGGGATCTACTTTTGCCATTCATGCATGGTTCACTTGTCTCAGACCCATCTAACATTGTTTCACTTGTCACACCACCATACTGCACATATTTAAAATATCTGCAGATATTGTTTGAACATTCCTTGAGATAGAGTGGTAGCAGGGGCGGATCTAGCAAAGTATTAATGGGGTGGCGAGACGTGGCATGGAGACTTTAAGGGGTGGCAGAACTATATGCAGAACAATCACATGTCAATATTTGCTTGGAAAAGAGGCCAAATGAAGATATTTGCTCAAAAGCATTCCATTATTGTGGCGCACTATTAAAGCATTGCATAGAAATAAATAGTTTTACTTCCAAATCTTCAGACATTTTTTCAAAGATATTTTTCATTGAACATAGTCAAAATGTGGCCAGAACATAAGATTCAATTATTCAATTTTTTAAAGGTCCAGTGTGTAACATTTAGGAAGATCTAATTGAATATAACATCCATAGGTATGTTTTCATTCATGTATAATCACTTAAAATAAGAATTGTTGTGTTTTTGTTAGGTTTGAATGAGCTGTTTTTATCTCCTATTCCATGGAGGCTATCATGTTGAACCAACATGTTTCTACAGCCCAGAACAGACAAACCAAAAACTGGCTCCAGACAGGGTGTTTCGCAGCCACCATAGTTTCTCCCTCACACTTGGAAAAGGAGGGCGAAGCAAGTGGGTTGCAATCTGCAACTCGACAGCTAGATGCCACTAAATCCTACATACTGAACCTTTAACATGTTAAATTTGATAGCATTTGACACCAAACAAGGCATTTTTTCAGGGCCCATGCCACCCCTCTAGATCCACCTCTGGATCTGGTGAGTGCGAGCAGTAGTTTTGCAGCTTTATGTGTCCAGTCCTGCAGACTTAAACGTTGAAGCAGGCTCTTAAATTATTTTTGTAATCACTGTGTGTTTGTAAGTCTTTGGGGGAAGCAGAGTGGTCGGATGGGCTGAATAAAATAGTACAACCTGTCAACATGTGCTAGGCCTGTTGAAGTCCCCTTAAGCAAGCTGGCAGCTTGCAGTATTTCATTGCTCAGATTTGCTCAGAGGTGGGCTAAGTAAAAGGAGAATCTCCTTGCTGGGGTTACTGAGGACGTATTGAGTTTGTTTATTTAAACCATATGAAGAATCAGTGAACTTGCTCCATCTGCTGGAGAATCATGTTATGGCAAGTCAAAGAAACGGCCTGAACGGTGCATCCTCACTCTGTTCTCTGTAAAAAACAATAAATGTTTATTTATTCGTTGCAACTGGTGATTTTCTCCCAAAATGCAGCAGTGTGCTACAGAGTGACACCACTCTGAGTCTGGTAAAAAGGTACTGTAAGTGGTCCCACCACTGCTGATCTCTGTTGCCCCAACAGTGACATCAGCCCTCTGTCCATTGGCTGCTGACTGTCAGGCCATCCTCCTCACAGCATGTAACACCTCAGTGTGGTCACGCTGCCAGTCACATCTCAGACTCTCCACTGTGGTCAGATGCTTTTAGCTTGGCACATGCAAATTTGTGCAACAGTAGACTTGTTGACTAAGATTATGTTGCTGCTACTGGCTGCTTTTTAGACAATCTGATATTATAGCTTAGGAGACTGAAATAATTTACATAAATGATGAATTTTAAGTTTGTATTTACTTCCCATTGTGTGCAGTTACACTCAAATTCCATATGCTAAATGTGTGCAAAGGCTTCTTCACATTTAGAGCACATGCTTACTAAAGATAGCTAATTATGGACGTTTTGAGAAATGACTTGTCACATTGATATATATGAGTGGCCAGCTTTTGGTGATGCTTTCAGTGAATAAATCATGTATTAAAAATGCTAAAACAACAGGATGGATCCTGCTTTTGTCTCATTTTTACTTGTCATTCCTCTTTAAATCTTAATCCAAAAACATCCCTTAGAAGTCCCTCTCCCCCCCACCCCACCCCACCCCGCCTTCAAATCACTTTTTTCTCTAATTTGCACACAAGAAGATTGCTAAAGGGATGCCTGTGCCAAAGGAAAGGGTCCTAAGGGTCAGACGGGGTTATTGGGGAATAACCCTTCATCCAGCGTTAGGTAGGGACCGTCTGGATTAGTGATGCAAATGTCCCACATCTGATCAATGGCCTGCTTTACTCTGTCCCAATCCAACTTTTTTTTTCTGGTGGAAAGACTTCTCAATCTCATGGTGAGTTTTAGATTATTAAAACATTGCAGGTAAAATGTAGAGATGAAAACCTTTAATAATTCCAGAAAAACACTTATTCCCTGCAGATTATAACTATTAGCCTACCACTCATTCAAATTTATTATAACCGCCTAGTATCAGCGATATTTGGAAATCATACATTGTATGAAATAGAAAACTATATATCTTTTTATTTGTAGGTGTCCGAAATAAGAAATATAGCCTATATATATAATCGCATCGAGTCCGGTGACTTTAAACTAAAAATGGAAATGATATCCCTAATGATGATACTACGAAACACTTCCACCTGCAGTTGATCCCTTTGTGGGAATAACTGTCGCAGATTTTGTGGATGTAACGAGGCAGTTTGACCCCATTTGAAATGAAATGGTCAAATGGCACTTTTTAGGCTATGATTGCCTGCCGTGTGAGTAACGCTCCTTGTGGTTTATGGTGATAAACACTGATTCAATCACACCTTTGTGAAACCATGAATTACTTCCTCGAGAACAAACAGTTTGGAACTATTTTTTGTGGTCTTATCAAACTGACTATTCGTCATCCAGAGGACTATCTCCCACTAATCCCCGACAATCAGCTGCGCGTTAGATAACTTAAATAAACTTTTTTTTCTGAGCAGAAACTCAAGGGATCAGTGTTGCACTTTTCCTATAGGATTAAGCAGATCTTCCTTTGCTCTTGAATAGAGGCAGGGAACCTACCGTTGCCCGGCCCTGAAGGCCCAGGGTGCCCTTTTGATCATTTCAGTCTCTCCTTGGTGCAATACTTCTGATTGGCCAAGAGACTAAGAAGGGGGAAAATCTTTAATTAAGCAGATAATCTCTTGTTGGGACAAGAGCAGCTCCATTTCAGAGCCCCCTCCTTGAATCTTGGAAGCCCTGGTGAAGTTTCATGTGCTGGTAGCTCAGTTTCCTCTCCATCGTTTGACTGTCTGCAGGCTTTGGACAGGCTCAGTCATCCCTCTCACCTGTCAGGATGTTCATGCATTTGGAGGTTTTCTATTATATTTTCATTCTCCTGGCTCACATGAGGTCGTACTGCTGCTGGTAAGTTTGATTTATTGTGAAATGTATATGTATAAATAGCAAACGCATGTATTTTTGTCAGTATACATTTTATTTTATTATTTTGCTTCAATTTGTGTTTTTTTCTCTCATTAAAGATTAGAGTATTATTCAAAAGGTATAACATGACCAATGCAACCACTTAATGGAATGATTTGCCAATTGGAAATAAGGAAATTACTTAAATTAGGGATTTAGTAGTTCCCATAAAAGGTAACTGGATTAGTTTAATTAATTTCACCAGTACCATATTTTAATAAAACACTCTTGATAAAGAGGTTATTACGTTTTAACTAATTGCTTTATCAATGGTGAATAAATAATTTACTAATGCTTTATAGATTCTTTGTAAGCCACTAGTAAGAAAAACTATAGAGTTCCCAGTCTGTGAAAACTCCCTTAGGTTATGCCATTTGACCTTTTATTTCCGAAAAAAGGCCTGCAGACAATCAGGACCAAACTCCATTTATCAACAACTAATATAATGCTTAAATGGTTAAAACCAGTTATTATGACGTATAAACATTAACATAAATAACAGAAAGCGAGAAACCCATGAGCATTTATAAATGGATTACCAACATTTATAACTGCATTATTTACAAATAGAAAGTAGAAACACCTGCCAGTGGGATTTTTCACAACCTGGCAACCAAACATTTAAGTTATCACAAGTTAAAAACATAGCCGCCCTAAGTTTTAACATTTCTACAAACTTTTGGACAAATTCAGCAGTGTTTTCACTGAGGTTTGGATGCCTGCTGGTGTCACGGTTTAACATGTTACAATGCGCACTAATGAGAGATGTTAGCAGAGGAATTTGTGAAGGACACTGAGCTTCCCTGAGTGAATAAGCTGTCTCCTTTTCCAGGTCAGTGAATAATTTCTTGATGACTGGACCCAAGGTAAGCCAACTTTCTTTTGATCTCTTCCCCTTTTCCCAAAAGAGAGAGAGAGAAAAAACATGCTTTCTGTGCACACTTGTTGTCCTTGTGATGTCTTAACTCAAGTGTATTGACAAGATCTGCTACCTGTCTGTATGCAACAATGCCACTAATGATATATCATTGATATTCTTGGCCCTTTGTGATTATTTTCCCCCCTACGTACACTTGACCTTATTCAGAGGCTCTGTGTATGTGTGGGTTGAATGTTTTAAGGGGTGAGGGCAGGCATTGCTTTAGTGGGTGGTCATCATTAGTGAGCCAGACCCCTGTGAAAGAGGTGGTACTCCATCTCCCCAAAGGCCACTTGAGACATATTAGTTATATTATCGTTCACACCGTCTGAGCAAGCAGCAGAGAGGCAGCGTATTTTATCATTTTCGCTGAAGCTGCTGGAGTTTAATCAATAAAGTAATGTTTGAATGCAGTTCACATTGTTTTTCTCATGAAATTGACAATAAGAATAATCTCAGTCTCCGAAACATTAAACACTTGTTGATATAGGTTGTCCACATTGTGATTCTTGAGGAGGCAAGACACATTTTAAAACTTCTGTAGTATTTCAGTAGTAGGGAAATATAAATGTAAACAAGGCTGAGACTGGTTCACATAACCTAGTTCCTAGTTTTCTTCTACATATAACGTTCGTTATATGTATTATCTGTGACTACTGAGTGAGTCAGTGGTTACTTCTGGCATCTGTCGGAAGTCTGTGTTCAGGGCTTAGGCTTGTGTAATTTATTTTTAAAAATTGCATTTATGTATCACTAACTGGGTTGAATTTATGAGGTAGGATGCAACCTTTTTTTGCATCAGGTAAATCTTCCCTAAAGATGATCTGGGTATCAAATCATGCCAAATGATTCTCTCAGCGTCTCAAATCATGTTGTTATTGTTGCGAGATGTGGCGTGTCTGTGCATTATTTTATGGGTTTAATATATCCACTGTCTCTGCTGCTGCTGCAGGCATACCTGATCTACTCCAGCAGTGTGGCAGCTGGAGCTCAGAGTGGCATAGAGGAGTGCAAATACCAGTTTGCATGGGACCGCTGGAACTGCCCCGAAAGAGCCCTGCAGCTGTCCACACACAGCAGCCTGCGCAGCGGTAAGTCCAGACTCCTCAAGGACGAGTTGGCCTTAACACCAGCGCCAACATCTCTACGCTGCAGGGATAGGCTGAAAGAAATCTCACTTCTGAATGGGAAACAGGGCTAATAGATGTTTAAAAAGTGTTTTATAACTGTATTTGTTTCAAGTTTCTGTGTCAGAGAGGAAAGGTTTTTCCCTTTGTGAAATCGAGATGTTGGCTTAGTCAAAACATTCATCATCCTTTTGGATGGTTACAGTGGGCATGATTGCAAAACAAACACCCTAATCCATTTCACAACATCCCCCAGGATCACTGCCTCTATTTGCAGCTTATGAAAGCAATATTGGGTACACTGACCCTCCTCTTTCACAACATCCCCCAGAATCACTGCCTCTATTAGCTGTGTATGAAACCAACATACCCAGATTCACAAGTTAAATAGTCAAATATGTTAGTAAATATAAAATAAGCTTTATGTAGGCACAGTTTAGAAGTGCCGATATCGTAATGATGGGTTTTATAGTGCTGAACAGAATATGGGAAATTGACTAATTTCCCATATTCATTTTATATATTAAAAGTAACATTGAATGTGTAATATGACAGGTAGAACTTTATGCAGGTAATTGAGATTGTAATATAATGTATAAAATACATAACATACAACATGATTAATGAGTCTTTCCGTTTACAGCAAATCGAGAGACAGCATTCGTTCATGCCATCAGCTCGGCTGGAGTCATGTACACTTTAACCAGGAACTGTAGTCTCGGAGACTTTGACAACTGCGGCTGTGATGACAGCAGGAACGGACAGCGAGGTCAGAGAAACACACAGATCTGTACATAAATAACCACAGCAGAAGAGGTTAAGATGTGACAGGATGAATTGAATTCTTTTTTCATTCTCCTAGGTGGACACGGTTGGCTCTGGGGCGGCTGCAGTGACAATGTTGGCTTTGGCGAAGCCATCTCCAAACAGTTTGTGGATGCCTTGGAGACTGGTCAGGATGCACGGGCAGCCATGAACCTCCATAATAACGAGGCTGGACGCAAGGTACAGTAGGTGCTCTTAATTCACTCCATCCACTTGGCAATGAGAGATGAGCCCTTAGTAAAAGATAAAGTACAATTATACCTCCATTTGAGCCATACAGTATTTAAACTTGGTGGTGGCTTGGTTGAAATTTTGGAAATCTCTTGTAGCCCTCCAACTGATTGCACAGTGTAAAGCACCTTTTGAATAATTTTTTCCCTGCTCAGAATTACTCTGAGTGTGCCACCCAAGCATCCCTTTCACGTCGGCTATAAGTGAGGTGCCACTCGTCCCCAATAATAACAGTGTGTTCGGTGTACCAGAAGGGCCTATTTACCAGTGCTGAATGCCCCTTATGACAATACCTCAACTCAAGAATCTCAGGATCACTGGTGCAGGCTTAATTAGAGATCCTGGGGAGCCAGACATTGCAGAGCATTCTGTATTATGCTGCTTTTTAAAATAAGTGTTTAGTTTTATTCTTGCAATAAGGATCCCACATTTATGTTGGTCTTTGTTTGGCCCTGAGGGACCTGAGGGAGTCTGAGGGGACCACAGGCGTGCAGCTGAAGTGCTCTTTGTTTACTGTGCCTTTGCTCCCCCCTGTTGGGCCCTAGGATCCCCATGGCACCTGGAGCATCATTGTAACAGAAAAAAATGGGGATAGAAAGAGAGAAAAACTCCTTTTTCATTTCTTCACTCAATGGGACTCTCCATTGGGTCTTCTCACACTAGAAAACATGTTGATAATGAACATGCAAAATAAATACTCCTATTTCTTCTGGGGGGACAATAGGGCTCAATGTGAAACTTTGATTCAGCCTCACCTCAACAGAAAGTTCATCCCCTCCTAACGAAAAGAAAACGTCCCTTTTCAACTGACAGCTGTTTTGTGTCGGGTAAAGTCAGGAAACACTGAGGACGACAAAGAAACTCAGCAATGGACCTTGAAGCTATCATTTCTCCCTTTCAGTGTATTCATCCCTTTTTTTACTCAACTGGAAAACTTTGAGAATACAATCAGTTAATTTGACAACACATCAATCAACTGACAATGGATATCCTGTCTTTTAAACACACACACACACACACACACACACACACACATACTTACATAGACGCACGTTTATGTGTGTGTGCATATGCATACTCACAATCACATAATCAATTTATCTGTTTTGATACTGTTTTTCATATGAAACTGATGTTCTTCAATGCAGTAAACTATAAAACATTTTAATATAGTGAATCTTCCCTCTATCTGTCCTTTCTGTGTCTCCAGGCTGTGAAGGGGACCATGCAGAGGACATGTAAGTGCCACGGGGTGTCAGGAAGCTGCACCACTCAGACCTGCTGGCTGCAGCTGCCAGAGTTCAGGGAGGTGGGGAACTACCTGAAGGAGAAGTATCACAGAGCTCTGAAGGTAGATCTCCTCCGTGGAGCCGGGAACAGTGCGGCCAGCCGGGGGGCCATCGCTGAGACATTCAGCTCCATTTCACGCAAGGAACTGGTCCACCTCGAAGACTCCCCCGATTACTGCTTGGAAAACCGCACTCTGGGCTTGCCAGGCACAGAGGGCCGCGAGTGCCTCAAGAAGGGCAAGAGCTTGAGCAAATGGGAGAAGCGGAGCTGCAAGAGGCTGTGTGGAGAGTGCGGGCTGGCTGTGGAGGAGCGCAAAGCTGAGATGGTGTCGAGCTGTAATTGTAAATTCCACTGGTGCTGCGCGGTGAAGTGCGAGCAGTGCAGAAAGACAGTGACCAAGTACTTTTGTGTAAAGAAAGGAGGTCAGAGGGGACGGAACGAGAGCGCCAGTACCCGCCGGAAGAACCTCAGACTGAAGAAGAAGCACTGAGCATCTTCCTTACTTCTCCCCTGCTGTCATCATATTCCTACCACTGCAGCTCCTGTCAACACCCAAACTCTGTACATGTTCATATAGTGTGTGTTTGGACAAAAAAGAAAACAATTTCAGAACATCTTTATTGTTAATTTTGTATTAAAAGTTAAAGACAGTGGGAAATGCATAAAGCCACATGATAGAGAAGATGAGAAGGGGAGGTTTTACAACTTTGTGGAGTTTTTGGTACAAATATATTTAAGATATATTTTTATACTTTTTTCAACATTTTGAAAAGTCACTGGGCATTTCAACAGTATTTCTCTGACTTCAAAATTCTCCACAATGTGATTTATTTATTTCAAATATACACAAAAACTTTGGGGAAAAATTAACCAATTATTAGTTTCTGAGTAATGGATGACCTGACTATTCAGCAATGACAGAATTAGCTTTTAAAATCACAATTTTCAAGAAACCCTTCAGGTTGTATTACCATAAATGCATAATACCAGCCTAGCAGTAACATTTCTATATTTCAACTATCACTGCCAAGGTTTGAATTTATTTAGACATATTGTGACATTTTGGGGGACAGTCTGCTCCCGTCATCTGGCTCGCCCTGACCTTTGCTGCCCTCTTGATGTATTTAATTGTATATAAAATGAAGCACTTTGTACTGTACATTGTTAATTTATTGCACAGCATTTCCTAGTTTTGCTTTATTGTTAGTTGCCTTTGTGGTTTGTTTTCTATTAAAATGTAATTAAAGAATAATAAATTCTTCAATCTTATATATCATTCAGCCTGAAGAAAGTGTTCATCCTTCTTTAACATACTCTTTGACACAGTAATATTTGAAGCTTTGCCGTAAACACAACCTCGCTCTTCACATTGTTCACATTGGGGTTAGGATACTCTGGTGCAAACCCAACAAGAACAGAAAACTTTCCAGCGTACTCTTCGTTCCATCACGCCTTTCTCAATTTCGCCTCAACAAATACCTCCCGTTCTCTCCCTCATCATGGTAATCCTCAAAGAGCCCCCTAACTCCCAAGCGCTTGGACGTTTCTTTACTGTTTAATACTAGTTTAATTAACTTTGTCCAGACAGAGTAGGGCCGTGGGGGTGGAGGGCATGAGGCAAGTTGCCCTTAAAAATCATCCCGCCTCTAATTTTGTATGCTAATCTCCTTTTTCACGCCGCACCTCCTTAGGAGTGGGGGGAAAGAAATGTTGGGAAAACTTTGGGTTGCCTGTGCAGGGCTTCCTGCGGCTGTTTTATTTCTGGGCCCACCTATTTGGATCCTTTCACTCCTCTAGGGCCTTCCTTTGCTCGATTTAACAATGAATGCAGAGCTAATCAGCTCTCTCGGAAATGCACCACTGTCGAGGAAGGTAATCCCTTCTTCTCTACTCTCAATGGGCTGTCGCCTTCTAAAGGACTTTGGGAAAAGGCTTTGCACAGATTCACACTGTTCTCTCAAAAGAAGTTAGTTCAAGTATTGTGCCCAAACAAGTGGGTTTTATAAACACATGCTTGCCAGGATACTCACCCCACCTGCAAGTAAGAAGTGCCAGGCCCAGGCAGACTAGCACATGGCAGCCGAAGCCGAAACCCTTCAGACGAGATGGGACATGAAAGAGGAGATTAGAGGTCCCATTGAGAAGGGGGCGTTCATTTCTGCACCTTCCCCCTTTTACTCAATAAAGTGTCAAGGAAACACCTTGTTGACATCTTATTTACCAAATAATGATCATAATCAAAACTCCTCCCTCCTCTGCTGACCCCCGTGGGCTGGCTGGATTGCTCTGCCTGGCATGCAGAAAAAACCCTCTTACCAACAAAAGGCCCGGCATACCAAGCTTTTGCCCTGCGGCTCTGTGGAAGTTCTTCAATTTACTGTGACAGGGAGTACAACAGAGGCATGTCAAAATGTTCATTCACATATTTTAAATGCAATGCAAAATTATAATTAGGACATACATTTTGGATTTAATTTAACAAAGCCACTTTAAACTTGGTATACAGAATGCATCGACTCTTGCTGGAGTTTTTCTTTGGCTAATTATATGAGTCATGAACTGGCTCACTCTCAGCGGAAAAGTTCCCACTTATACTCACATGTAAAAAAAATAATCTCACAAAGGAAAGCCTGCTGACGCAACAGTCACCTAATGTCTGGGAAAGCTGTACAGAAAAACACGTTTGTCTGTTTTAAAGTTCAGCACTTTGACACACCTGTGACACTGTTCCGTTATGCAATCAAGATCAGTTGTGCATCAGCAGCAAAGATGAAAGAGAGGGCATTGCTCTAGAAGCCAGTGTATGAAGATAATACTATGCTTAACCTGGAGACCTAACCTTCAGGCGCTGGGCTCCAGGATAAGAGGAAAAGAGAGTTAATTAATGCTTTCTTTGCACAGAATTACCACTGTTACACTTAACCTTTGCCCCGCTGTACTATACCTTTCCTTTTCTTTGATCAAAGGTGTCTTATCATGTTCATAACATTATAGACTACTAAAAGTTGGTCCACAGTTTAAGGCAAAAAATGATAGAATACAGAAAGGCAGATGCACCGGATGAAACATGCATTGTAACAGTGTGTGAAACAGCACATAATGCTGATTGTGACTCAGATTACACACTTCCCCCTCACCCAGAGAGTGACACAACCTCCGACCGAGGGGTCTGAACTTCCGTCTATAGGGCTGGCCCTGCCACGTTCAATTTACCATAACACATGAGTTTGAGGTGGCGGTGAGAGAGGCGACACAACTGAGAAAGAGTGGGGTTTTAGGCACATACTTTCTCACAGAGGATGAATAATCAATTTTAATTTAACAGATTATTTCCAGAAAATTGCAAATGTTTTTAACTACACAGTACTGGCGGCATTAAAAGACAGTTGTTATAAACTGCTGGAGTTTTTGTTAGGATTCCAATGGAGTGTTTTTTTGTTTACATTAATACATTTGCAGCCCTGTATCTCTGACATATAAATTATATAGAGAGAAAAGAAAAAACTACACAGAGGGGGCTGATTTCTCTCAGGTAGCGAATGATAATGCAATCAACGAAAGATGGGAAAACGACTTATAATGCTTCAGAGAATCCTTGACTAATAGGATTTATGGCTTAGGGGTTCTGGACCTACAACACCTAGAGGGGCGAGGGTCAGTATGAATGTGAGAGAAAGCCAACACAGATGAGTACAGATAAGTGGGACGTCCACCATGTGCGCCTAAAGTGGTTTAAACAAAACTCAGTGAAATCTGTATTTACGTCATGAAACTCATGAAACTGGATGTTTGCAGCAGTAATCAGATGCTCTCACTCATCAGGAAACAGTTTCATTGTAACCGTAGCTCCTCGAGAGAGAGAGAGCAGTCCATCTGCTTGGGAGAAGACAGCAGTGGTGTATGTGTTTGTTGCTATCAGCAGGATTGAGATACAAGCTTCTTGAGGCTCACCGGGGTGGTCAATCTTCTGGCAGTGGGTATCTGCAAAGAATGGGGAGAGAGGAGCATCAGAGGGATCAGCTCAGCTCAGCTCAGCTCACTGATCTGCACAGGAAACACCGAGCATGGGAACTCACCAGGGAGCCCAAACTAGTCTCGGCAGTGGAGATCCGCTGATAAAGCCTGATTCAAGAGAAAAAAAATACAAGATGTATCAAGTTTTACAAGAAAATCTGGAAATGCTCTTGCACTTTTGAGCTCAAATGATGCCTGTTTGTGACTTTAAAAAGCTGTTACAAAAAGGTTCAATGTTGAGTACCAATGATCAAAGTACTCGATCTAGTTTGGCAAGGTACAAGGTACAGTGTGGACTGCTATCTCATGAAGAACGATCGCCAACGGATCAATTCATGAATGCTGAGTCAATGATAACCATAGTTAAATATTGGCTCAGCATTTCAAAAGTGTTTGCTCAGTTTTTCATTCATATCTTTCATAGATGGGGGGACAACTACTGTGTTGTGTCCTGTATTACACTTCATCAATGTCATGACTCTGCTTAATTTTTCCTACTGTACAGTGAGTTGTTCAGCACTGTGGAATAAGTAGGCCGATTCAGATGCAGATTTTATACCACGCTACAAAAATACCAAAAGTAGGCTACATAATCAGCAATATGTGGGCTACGTAGTGTCAAAAGTGTTACTATTATATTGTTGTAGTCATCCTTTTATCACTATATCATTGTAACAAGTCATATGGAAGTTTTAAAAAGTCTAAAAATTAACATAGTTGGAAGATAGAGCTTATTCTGACTGCTTTACATACTTTTGGATATTTTAATCTATGGCAATGCGTCATATTTCACAAACTCATCATATATTTTGTAGCTTTGTAAAATCTTAGTAAAAGGTAACCCACATTTCCCTCTGAATGAAATGGAAATACTTCAACTATAAGTTCAAATAGGCCTACCTCACAACCTGACTTCATTGTATTACTGCAGTACTACAATGTAATATTTAATAGAGCTTCAAATGTATCTTTTTTTCCAGAAAAACTGCAAGAAAAGCAAGTACAACGTCCCCCTCTAGTGGTGCACTCAAATTATTACAACATGAGCATTTAGTCACCCCGTGCACCAGGTGTCGCTGTCCCATATTCCGGACACAACATTATCGAAATGTTCCCCTGATTTGAGTTTATGTCGTTTGTTTTCTGGCTGTCAACACAGTGTGTAAACACCTACACGGAACAGATCCGTGGAGAGCGGTTGTGTCTGCAGGTCCACGCAGATTATTAATTGAATAAGGGTGAATGGGAAAGATTATATGATATTCCCGCCGCTGACTCTGGGGCCTTGCAGGGTAAGAGTCGGGAAGAAGAAAGCCACTCTGGTTGTTTCATTGTAAGGAGGACGGAGTGCGAGATAAATCAGCGCTTGTCGACGACCATGGCAGCGGCGACCGTTGCGGAGGTTGACCCGGCGGAGAGCGAAGCCTGCGCCGGTTTCGCCGGCGTCCAGAACCGGGACTGGGATGAGTCTCAGCTCCGAAAATACTCCTTCCCAACCAAGCCCATACCCAGACTGTCTCACACGGACCCCAGAGCAGAAATACTAATAAACAATGAGGTAAACCGACTAAGTTAGCCTGCTGAAACTTTTAACACACTATCGGTTAAGGGATCCATGTTGGGGGGGGGGGTCAATTTGATATGCTTTAATGGCATGAGTGTTATAAACAAATATTACCATATTTAATATTCATGCATTTCATATTAAGAACCTCAGACGTAGAGCTGCACCACCAACCTTGTTTTAATAACAGTTTCACTCGGGAAGTGGTGGCTTGGAAACGACATTGGCTCAAAATATACACTTTGTTATTAGTATATTATCTTATTAATGTATAGCGAGGGACTGAGTGTGACAGTGAGCTGCATATCATTTTGTTTAGGTTTATTTTTTAGCCTTGAGCGAAAGATTTCATCCCAAATCCATGCAGGGAAATTCTGAACTGAAACAATTAGTGCAATTACTCATAAGTCGATTAACAGAAATATATTCTGCAGCTATGTTAATACTTTATTAATCATTAATCAATTCGTTGTGTTTCATGCAAACATGCCCCAGATTTCCCACTTCCAGCTAAACATTTGTAAGGATTTGGCCTTTTAAATCTGTCTAATTTGACAATAAATTACATCCCCAAATCAGCAACAATAGAATGACATTTTTCACATTTGATAATCTCTACATTAAGATACAAAGCTCAACGTTTTGTAAAAGTTTGCTTGCTATCAGTTGGCTTTTTGTGAAGTTTTGCACCTGCAGAGCCTTTTGAGATTCAAGTTCAAGGGTAATCCAATCAGTGATGTCACATGAGGTACTTGACATCTGGTTGGTGATGGTGGCTTGTGTTTTCATGGGGAACCTATTCATCTGAGTTATGCTCATTAATGTTAGTGATTCCTGACAGAATGGAAACATTCAGGGGTTAATTTAATTGTGTATCATCCAGATTAGATTCTGCAGTAGCAGAACTTGACCTTTCTCCTCTATATAGTCCTTATTAATGTAGACAGGAATAGAAATGTGTCATCTTCAATACTTCTTGACAAGGTTCCCCCTTTCCTCTCTGATATTGATGATTCTTTCACACACTAATATACAGTCACCAGCTATGAGCAATGGTTCACAAGAATAGTGAAACAACAATCTTGTCAAACTAACCCAAGAGCCACATATGAACTTTGTGACGTTCAAATGTGGCTCAGGTGAAGTGGAAAACATTTTTAAACAGTTTTCGAACATGCAGTCTTTTTTTTTTTTTTTTTTTTTTTTTTACCATGTTAAGGAAAAAGATATACCTTCCATGCAATTTAAAAATGTGACATGAAGTCATACTCTGAAGTAGTGTTGATTTTACTGAATTTCTTAACAGTGAGTTTCATATTTTGCACTAAAATGTCTACTGTGAGATTAGACATACCATTTTCAGGTTACAATGGGATAAGGTAATAAGTAAGAGGTCATATAATAACAATAGTTTATTATAATGTAGCATACAATTATTATTAATATTACTGAGCATCATAAAAGTGAAAGATAAAAACCAATGCATGCTATGTATCATTTATCCCCTTATTCAAACTATAGAAAACAGTCTAAAATTTAAATTTTCAACAGGAGCTGTTTGATGTTTGAAAATGAATGAATGAATGAATGCATCGCATTAATGGGCTTACCCTAAAGACAAGTTATACATTAGAAGTGACATCTTATTATTTTTTAAATCCTTTGTAGCTGTAATTTGGCGTTCGACGTTCTTATTATTCTAGAACTCCCCCCAACGACCAATCACAGACGCGCGCGTGCCAAAGTGTTATAGAAACAGCGTTGATATGTCCAAATATGGCTTGTTCACGCTGTCGCTGTGTTAGATCACGTTAACTGTAAAAGAAAACCCCCATTAAAAAAAAACAAAAAACCCCGAACCCTGGGGACACAGAATATGTCGCCAGATGTCCCCGTTTTTTAAAAAGCGCCACACAAAGCCGATTTTTACAATGAGCACGCGACGGGACTAGCATAAAAGACCGATATCTGAAGCACCAGAGCGTCGCATGCGGTCGGTTGTTTCTTTGCTGGCACCTGCCACACTAAAGTTATTAGTTGGGATTTTTCTAACATCATTTTAACTGCTCAGGACCGCAGAGTCACGCGTTCTCCGGCGAAAGTGAAAGCGAGAGCCGGTGCAATGAGAGACAGGCGACGGGAGCGCGCCCACCGGTCTACGTTCAGTTAGTCACGTAGCCCTCGTCCTCAAACTCAGTGTGTCCAATGCCACACACTGCACTATCAATGTGCTGTGTTTGTGTATGCTGGGATGTATGCATGTTCCCCTTTTTTTTGGTTTTGTTTTTTTGTTTAAAAGGTTATTCTAGACAGAAATACAAATGTCGGCAGTTTGGGGATTTTGTGACCCAATCAAGATGAAACACATGCAGCAACTGTAGATGTTTATGTAAAACCCTTTTTAGGGTTAAATTTTGCAGTCTTTTTTTTTTTTTGCCACTGTGTTTGACCTATTTTGTGAACCACAGGGAAAGCAATAGATATTCAAATAAAACTGCAGTTTTATGCAATTCCTGTAGTTTTAGAAAAACAACTTTAGTCATACAGTAAATGATTATAAAATACTGCAGTAACTTTTAAATGAGTAAGGACAAACAGTTCTAGCAGTCTTGCAGTCATTATTTATTGCATTATTCAACAGGGAACTTGCTTGTTTTTAGTTATACTGTTCTGAAATGTTATTTATCTGTTTTCAGGAACCAGTGGTTTTAACAGACACAAACCTTGTGTATCCAGCTCTCAAATGGGACATTGCATACCTACAGGAGAACATTGGACATGGAGACTTCTCTGTTTACATTGCAGAAAACCACAAATTCCTCTACTATGATGAGAAAAAAATGGCTAATTTTGAGAACTTTGTCCCCAAGTCACAACGAGTGGAAATGAAATTCTCTGAATTTGTGGATAAAATGCATATAACGGAGCAAATGGGAGGAGAGGAGAGGTAAGAGATATTTCTAAGGATATTTTAGTAAGGACAGGAATATGATGTAAGCTGTGTTTATATTAACCCTGCCAAGTCTGATGCTTGATCTAAACTAAATCCTCTCTTTGGAGCTCAAACAGGGAAGTAACCCAAGTGTCAGGAACAAGATGTGATTGTGCTGCAGGTGTGCTTGACACTGAAGGGGTATTTTCTCTCATGAAATGTAATGCAGCACAGGAAAGTGGAGCGAATGACTAAGCATTCACACAGATCAGGGTACAGAGCTATTACTGTGACCTGACTTGGCCTGTCTGCACATGCACAGATCACTTACAAAAGTGAACTCACTGTTTGACTCGGTGACTCTCCCAGTGTCTGTTATCTATTTGGATTTGCACTGTCTACTTCCTGTCATATTGTTCTTCATGGTTTTAAGAAGATGTAGTCTGCTGGAATACAAGGACCTTGTAAACAAGCTTATATCCTGCAGACACATTTATAGCACTTGTGAAAATTAGCTGCATTGCGACTTCTCCCAGTGTAGAGCAAAGTGTCTCATACATTTTGCGTCTTTTTCTCTCTCTTGCATTTCAAGGGTATATCTGCAGCAGACCCTGAATGACACAGTAGGGAAGAAGATTGTTCTTGACTTCCTTGGGTTCAACTGGAACTGGATCAACAAGCAGCAAGCCCAGAGAAACTGGGGACAGCTGACATCCAACCTGCTGCTCATAGGCATGGAGGGTAAGGGATCTAGCAGTAGTTATCCACTGCATAAGGAATGCAGTTTCAGTTTTCTGCTGTTCAGCGTAGGATAATATGGCTCCTCATTATTCTTTGTCCTCGGATTTTTTCACACATTTTCTATTAATCTTCTCGCACCATAGGCAATGTGACACCAGCACATTACGACGAGCAGCAGAACTTCTTTGCACAGATCAAAGGCCATAAGAGATGCATCCTCTTCCCTCCAGACCAGTTTGAGTGTCTCTATCCATACCCTGTGCATCACCCCTGTGACAGACAGAGCCAAGTAAGGCCTAAAACTTTGCATATTTGTGATTTAGTTCAGTTACCTTCATCTATAGTGACAAGGATAAATCCCCTCAAATACGTTATAGAACAATGTCTACACATTCAATAAGTTATGAAGATACTGTGGCAAAATTACTTGAAATAAGAACATGCATTTAGTAAAATGGTATATTATTCTAAAGTAAGACCAACAAATGTCAGAAAAGTAGGAATTGATTAAAAGCCCTTTACAGATGTATGAGGCACAGTATGTTTTGTAATGAATCCATATCTTTCATTTATAGGTTGATTTTGATAACCCTGATTATGAGAAGTTTCCCAATTTTAAAAATGTTGTTGGCTATGAGGCTGTTGTGGGCCCAGGAGATGTGCTCTACATCCCCATGTATTGGTAAGAAGTACTTCTGTATGGCTTTTCTATATAAATGATCTATACTAACATGACTTATGTGGAAAAATCAGCTCCACCACTAAGTCAGCTGATTATCTCTAGGGCATTGAGTTCCTTAGATGCACTGCTAGCTGATGTGTTTTCATGCTCTCTGCATTTCAGTATGATATTCTTTGATTTAACTGCTCAACGTGGTGTTAGAAAATTAATTATCAATACGTTGTTGCCTTATTGATTGGCCCAGAATTGGCAGACATTTGTGCTGTCAAAAGTAACAACTGTATAATGCAGTTGTAATTGTTTGTAATAAAGCTGACGTGTTGGAGTATGAATCCACAGTGAGTGTGGGACATCGGTGTTATTTTATAAACCACCTGTAGAAGTTATAGTATATAGAAATAGTCATAATAGTCACTGGTGTGTGTTGATTTAAAGTAGTTTACTAGGAGGGCTGCAAGTTGAGGAGCTCATAGTAAAAATGAGCACCTCCTTGCACAAGCTTTAAATTATAAAGCTAAACTTACATTGGTTTGGTGACAAAAATGTACAACTATGTTCTGTAGTTCAAAATGTCTGCCCCCAGTGATTACATTTCCTTGCCTTGACTTTTTTTTCTTTCTGATTTTCCCATGAATATGTCATCACTAAGAAAGTGTAAGACAACCGTGTGTTACCTGATTACTATACTGCCTCTTTCTCCCACAGTAGATGTCTGAGATAATCTATCCTCTGCTCATTACGCTCTTTGTCTTGCCAACTTTTTACTTCCACTTGCTTATACTGCATGTAGTTTCTAGAGCAATCTCGTACTTGCATTTAGGATGCTAACATGAAATAACAGGTAGTTTGGTTGCAAGAAGAAGTTTGGGAAGTTGCTCTTTCATACCCAAATTTGCAATTTTCTTCTTTCTTCAGGTGGCATCACATTGAATCACTGTTGAACGGTGGAGTGACGGTCACTGTAAACTTCTGGTACAAAGTACGCATATTTGAGTTATTACAACTATTACTTTAACATTTGTGTTACTGGCATGTTTCTTCATGATCACTCACCTATTTGACTCATTTGTTCAGGGTGCCCCCACACCCAAGAGGATCGAATATCCCCTACGAGCGCATCAGAAGGTGGCCATCATGAGAAATATTGAGAAGATGCTGGGAGAAGCACTTGGAGACCCACATGAAGTAAAACTTGCTTTTATATCCTCTGCACAATACCAACTCTTTCCTATAATCAGTGTACTGACAGCATAAGTCACACATGAATGTCACACTGACAGTTTCTAGAACATTAAATCAGATCCACATTTAGGTCACCTGTTACATGAAGTCCCTAGGGCATGCTGACCCTTCCAGCAACCCAATTACCACGAATATTTATGGCTTACCTGATTTAGTACAAAGAAATGATATATGTGGTCTGGGACAATGGTTAAAACAATGTAATATGTCTGATACTATATGAAGTAGCTGATTCTAACCATGAATCGTTTTTGTTTTTCTATAGGTTGGACCTTTACTGAAAACAATGATCAAGGGCAGATATGACCAGGATCTCAGTTAGAGCCCCACCCTCAAAACTGTTAACTAGACTGCTTTGGAAACTGTATGCGTGTGGAAGTGAGACTGCTGCGTGTGTGTAATGCGCATTCTGACTTTGGAGCTACGTATCACTGCATGGCAATAGGCAGCCATCTTGAAACCATTACCGCTTCAGTCGTCTCCCGAGTGCCATGGTCATCGCAGTACAACAATTACAGAAGACACATGTGACTTACTGATGGGAATTCGCCCTACTTGAAGAAGTATTTGAAGAGGAGGCCTAATTTGGCTCCAGTCTACATATATTTATGTGAATTAGTCTCAGCATTCTTATAATTTAAGCTAATGGGTATTTGGGTGCATTTGCTCAGCCAGTCAGTAGAAGTTGTCTAAGATTGGTACCTTTGGAACAACCTTAATATTATGACCACTAATGGATGAGTCAAGGGGAATTTATATAGAGTACACTTCAGTTAAAAAGATAGCACATTTCTTATATAGATGTAATAACACAGTTGTGGGTTGATTACTAAACGTAGAATGACCATACTGCATTTTCCATCTCTATCACAAAGACAGCTTTAAAACTGATTTGGTTCATACCACTAAAGATGACAGGTCTCGTAAGTGTTTTAAATTATTTATCCATGTAATCTGCATTGTTGATATGCCTGCCCACATGGTTTTGGGGAGTGTGCTGCAGGAATGTTCAGTTGCAAATAAGACAGCATAGACACAGTAATAAAACACAGTAGTACAGTGATTAAAAACGCTGATGAAATATGATCAAAAATATGTGTGGGTATGAAAAAAGGGGGGGATCATATATTTAGCTGAAGGAATATGTGACCGCTTGCAGCTAAATTATTTTAGCTGAGTGATTGCTTTGTGTTTTATTTATGCTCCAGCTTGTTTGATTTATATTTCAAAGACTTTATTGGATGTGCTATTCTGCGTACCAGTAATAGATGAGAGGGCACTGAAAATTGACCTTCTGCAATTTTAGCTGCAAATAGTTACATTTAGGAATTAAAAGAAAATACTGTAAGTTACTGTTTTGGGGAAGCTTCTCAAAGTAATTACAGATTATTTTTTCTAGGGAATATAATGGTTGAAACAGTTGATTTGTTTTAATATAGCATTTTATAAATAGACTGAACAAGCAGGACCATCTGCTGGGATGTAGTTTATATATCAGCCATTGCAGAGCAACATAACGTACCATCTAGTGGTCAAGTTTGCAGTTGCATGTTAAGCTTGAGGTGTCGTTTCCTAGTCAATGCATCATACTGCTACAGTACAAACATTCAAGGTGTTGTATTAAATGTAGCAGATCCAAGATAAACTTGCTGCAATGTGTATAAAAGTCTAATTCTGGTTGAAAACTTGCGCTAATGATTACTTTAGGTTTGCAATTCTCAGAAATGCACATATTTTTACTTACATGCAGCCATATTTTAAAAACCTTAGTGTTTAAAGTTTATAGTGCTCTCTCTGTCTGTAAAAATGTACATTAAAAAGGGGAGGATAATTTCATATATTGTGCTTTATGTGCCAAACCAATGTACAAACCAGTACATGGGTATCTCTGTAATCAGAAAGCTTTGTCTGTTTGTGAAATTGGATGAATCATGCGGTGAACTATAAAATAGCAATACCCAAGCACTTAATTCACGGTTCAACCTTTGAATTGCTGGGAATGTGCATATCTGTTTACAAATTGCACGGCGATGGAACAGGGCTACTTCCTCTAAAAGAATTTACCTGACGTAAGACTGATGTTTCATCTGTTTTGCTAGGTTAACCGTTTACTAAATGTGCCTTGCACAAACAATGGCATGGCACTAAATGTTGCAAGGACTTGATTTTTTTCATTTTATGGTCAAAATTAGTTTGTTTTCAGTCTGGCATTAAACAGCTTTAAAAGGTAGGACTGACAAGGGTTCATAGAGATAGAAAAATGTTTTTATTGATGGATGCCTGAGTTTTGTTTTGAACATCCAGCATGTGCTCGTTCCTCTGATTAAAGTTTGTTTGCAAAGTTCTACAATGCTGAATTCTGAATGACTTAAAGATGTGATGATGAAATAAATTATTTGGTGCTTTTGAATAAGTATCTTAAGTAACATGAGTGAATAATCCCAAGAATACAATGTGAATGATCTAGAAAAATTAGTATTTATTTACTATAAATTGTGCGTCAGCAGTTTCTCAAAGCGCAGGTTTAAAACTCAGTTGTGACTAAACAGATTCTCTACCTAACACCATCATATAGTAATTAAAGAGAACATTGCTGCTGATAATGACGAGTATCAGTATCAAAACATCTTCTCAACACTTGATTGTGTTTACACTCAGGAAAACTATATTATGCCACCAATCAAAAACAATTGCTTATAGCTGCTCCAAATGGATGCAGAGGGGAACACAAATAAACAGCGTAATAAACAACAGTTTATACCAGTAAAAAAAAAAAACCTGACCAACCCATTTATTCTAATATTAAATAACTAACGAGATTCAAATAAGAATCCAGTCGTAATAAAAATCCACCATCACAAGCGAAGCGAAACTCACAGAACACAAATGAGACTTTGCAAATCTAAACATCTATATCAAAAATAAAGATAATGCTGCTGGAATGACCTTTTAAATTAAGTCCTCCAGCAGCATGTTTCACTCAACATTTAGGGGGCAACCACAGTCTTCCACTTCAGTGTGCCAAACATTATAGTGCTGTAATAGTTTGGGCCCCCCTTGAGAATTGTATTTGCTGTGCTATAAAATTAATTACCAAAGAATTTATGGAGAGCTATAGAGATTTCTATTACAGTTGGGTAATAAAAATGATATTTAGGTTTTGGGAATCTGTGCACTCCTTGTTTTATCAGAGCTTCATTAGTAGACAAATATTTAACATTTCCTCTTTGGCTGCTCATGACCCACATGTCTCCTGGGTCATGTCATAGCAACAGGTTATCAAATCTCACTTATGGTTGGCTTTACGCTAAGGTCATCATGTTTCACTTAGTTTAAATCATGTGTTTTTCATCTGATAAATGATTGGACATAGTGTATAAACTTAGCATTTGTATCACATATCCTATCTTTATTGGCCCTAAAAAGGGTGTGACAGGCTAATTAAGACTAATCAGGACTATGGCCTTCCTCTTGTGGACTTCAATATTAACTTGTTATAAAGGACAATTCAAAGTAGAACTCAACTACCTTGAAAGCATAGAGCCTCCGTCATTATTTAAAGTTATTTGGGTTATTTGCTCAAATCTGGAACACAGGTTGAGAAAAAACAAAACAAAACAACACAACACAACAAAAAAGATCTGTCCAGCAAAGTTATCCAGTTAAACTGTGTTATGCAGGCCAGATTCTTAAGTTAAAATTCTGTATTTTACACACTCTAGTCTTTGTAAGTAAACAATGCTGTGGGTGTATCCTAAGTAGTATAACGCGGACATATGTAGCACACCACAGGCATCCAACCTCGGAGGCCACATACTGCTGTTGCTACCTGCTGTAATGTTCATGTTAACAGAGTTTCATTTGAAATCCTTTTTGCCGCACAACAAACTGTCCAAAACAGAAGGCTTTGCCTAAAATTTTCAAAGCACAGTATTCCTTCCCAATGTAAAAATAGAACTTTAAATGAAATTGGCATCCATGATGTTATATGTACATAAAAAAGCAGTTGAGACTTGTAATGTCCAGAAGAAACTCTACAGCACCACTAGGATTCAATTACAGAAATGACAAGTGATTCATCTCTACAACTTCCTGTCACAATTATGAATCTGTATTTTACTAAGTTAAAGAAAATACAAATAAAAAGATTAAGAGGTTCAAAAAGACAATAATGTTAGTGCAACATCAGACCTGCTGAGATGGCAAAAAGTAGATAGGTTAGGCTGTTACACAGAATACAAGTTACAACATCCTCACCAAAATATCACACATAATTTTCCAAAGCTCCTGAAGGAAGTGATGCAACTGAAATACTGTAAATGAATGTTTTAACCGAGGCATATAATGGTAACAATATTTAAAATAAGCCACTGACACAATAACGAGTATCTTCCTTTACTTGGAAAAAATCTAACAAATTCAGGCTAAATGAACTTAATAAATAAAAAATAATGTAAACAATATTGTCAGTAGCTGCTCTCACAGTATTGTGCTCGTCATCAATGGAATCTGTACTTTCGTGCAGGCTTGAGGTTGACATAAGTCTTCTTCATGTCATCTGCCTCGTCTTTCTTCACAAGTTGATACCGTTCTCCTTTTGTGGTTACCACCTGGTTGCCGTGGTACCGAACGAGTTTCTTTGGAGCCTGTAAACACCACACCAGAAAGTGTAAGTTTTATTGCATAAAAACAGATATGATAAAGACACATTGTGAATATGGAGTATAACCAGATGCTGACATCTTTTGGGGGAACAGGCCGGTGTGTTTTGTTATCGTCCTCATTGTCCACCAGCATGTACCTATGGAGAAACATAGTCATAAACACAGAAACAGAGATGTTCTGCTCTCCATAGTATAATAGCAATCTTACTCACTTCTCAAGGATGCTCTCTTTAAGTTTCTGATCTGCCAGTGAGGAAATACTCTTCCCATGGTTTACCTGAGGTTACAGGATACCATCATATCAGACTGCTAACATACACAAGGAAGTGGCTGACATGAAATACCGTGGCAATGTTTATGTGTGTAGCTGAGACTCACATTTAGAGGAGTTGGGCTGAGTTGGACATCACCCTCTATGATAAGGCGCACAGCTTCCTCCATGTCTCCTTTGGCAATAGACAGGGCACTGCGAGCCTCGGACAGACTACACTTGGGAAACATCTCCAGCAGGTGCTGCTCCTGGGCCTCCCACTCAGACACTGGTAGCTAGACATATACACATTTATGTTACCTCTTATTTAGAGGAATGTAAACAATATCAACAGTAGGACACACAATGAGCACAAGTTAAATAATTATAATTAGAAAATTCAAACACACCAAGAAAAAGAAAATAATGTGGTGATGTGTGCTGAAATGATAACCTTGGCGGTGGCGCCCTCTGTCTGTGTTTTAAGGCACTGTGTTTCTTTTTCTGGGGGAGGTTCACTGAGCAGGGTGGTGAGTTTCAACGAAATCTCATCTGTCCTGGCCTTAGGCACAAACTTTTCTTCGTCAGCTAAAAAGAGAAAAACAACAAAGTAACATCAGTACACTGTAGCATAAATGTTAGGCTGACGATCTCCATCTATGATGAGTGTCACTGCCCAATAAAGCTTTAGTTAGTTTGTTTGGGTGACTCTTTTGGCAACATTATGAAAAGAATTAAGACAAAATTTGTAAAGGGTAATACTGCCACAATACTTCATGTATTAGAAATAATGATTAAAGCACTACCTGAGGTCCGAGCATTGGCTAGTTTTGAAGCCAGGCTGAACATCATTTCACAGACTTTGACACTGCAAAATGAAAATACACATTTGTAATAACAAATGACAGAGGAATGTTGTCCGGCCTTGTTTCTCACAGAAAAAAGTGCGATGTATAGTTTACCTCTCAATTTCAGCAAAACCAGGTATGTAAGCTTCTAGCATCTCTGCAAAGACTTCCAAGTCAAAGTTCTCCTCGATACTCTGCTGGGAGCCAAGATCCTCCAGGACGCCAGTAATGTAAGACAGAAGAACATCATCCAGTGTGCTGCATTGAAGGGTTAAAAAAAAAAAGAAGTTACTGTGAAGGTTGACTGAACTTAACATTGCTGTGAGGATGCAAAAATTAAAAAAATAGTTCACCTGAGATCTGCATCAGGAATGTAGTTCTGAATAAATTCGTGCAGCGCACTGTGGATGATTTTGTGGAGGTCCATTGCTTTCTCCTACTGTGCAGTAGAGGGAATACTGGAGTTGGGGTACAGCAGATGGTTAAGGCAGTTATAATAAGTTGACTGCAAACCTTAAATAACCAAACATAACAGTTGTCACCCAGGCTACCAATTATGGTAACGTTACACCATCAGCTCGGACGTACATGGAAATGTTACAAAAGCATTTCTTACGAAAGCTTGGTTGTGAAAGCTTGCTGCAGCATCTTTAAGGTAGTGGTGGTCAAAATGTATTTTTACGCACAACCTACATGAACCTCACGATTCATTTCAGCAAAAATAAATGAGGATGCAACGATAACTCACATTAAAAAGGTACTTAATGTATTGACTAAGTAACCTTACTAGGTAATGCTAGAAACAATGCTTTTGCATCAAACTCATGCAGCTACAGCAATATAAACCAACCGTGCTAGTGTTGTTTGCAGCGTTAGATTTGCAGCTGCTCGGACATTAGCTTGTTATCAGCTAACATAATGCTTAATTACAAACGCCACGGCTACGCTAGCATTAGCTACACCGCTGCAGGACAGTCGTGCGTAAGTAATTCGCCTCGTACAGTTGCACACGCTGTCTTATTTTCTCAACATGATCAGTGTTCACTCATCAACGAGATTAACCTTCATATGCACAAATAACGTCACCGTTAGCTAACGCTGTGGGTTTTTTTTTTTTTTTTTTGTTAGCTAACGTTAGTTAACTGCTAGCAAACGGTTAACGCCAAACCAGCCTCGGTTATTTGTATCGGAAAGACTTTAAATGGGCTAAACTTACTGTGACACAGATTATAGAGACATGAAGCTCAAAGTTTTCCCCAGATATATTAGGGGGGAGGACGGTCAGAGCAGTGGTTACAGGCTTTCTATCCGTGATGCGTGTTAGCCCGCAACATTCAAAACATTGACACGTCATTTCCGGTGATTGTAACCAGCCTGGTTAAATGCAGATATTATTATTATTATTATTATTATTATTATTATTATTATGTATTATATTATTATTTTATGATTTCTGTCTGCGAGACTTGTTTGGATTGATTGTTTTACGTGGATTTGAAATGTTGGTGGAAGGTGAGTTTACAAAATAGATGTAATTAAAAAGAGACAGACATAAATGCATTTTAAATCTCCTTATATTTACTGTTTTAACATTTTAAATGGTCACAATAAAGAAAATCCCAACATAGAGAAAGACACTAAAGCATTACATCCTCCTTACTACTCCTCCATTGCAAGGACTGTATTTTTCTGTTGTATATATTTGCCAACTGAATATTCTGGGGGGTTTGGGGCATTTTATAGAGCAAAACAATTAATTGATTAATTGAGAAAATATTAAATATTAATTGACAATGAAAATAATTGTTAGTTGCTGCCCTACATTACATGGACAAAGCATTGTGAGAGCTATCAAGACCATGTACAAACAGTGCCTTGAAAACTATTTTCTTATCCCCAAATACACTACTTTTTCAGTTTTATCGTTAATGAACAAATTAAAATCATAAAAAATGCAGCTATATATCACATGGTTAACACTTATTATAGAAGTTAACTATTCTGTCGACAGTATTTCATGTGTCACAACATTGTTATTTATCTATTTCACACAGCATACCTGAGAGGCTTTCTTTAAGGGGAACATACAGCAACATATTATATTTTAGAGACTCTACAACATTATGTGTGATGTTTTGAGGCAACAGAAAAATCTCAGGGAGATGTCAGTAAACTATTGACCCATTCTCTGTGCTTTAGTGACTCAAAACTGTGAAACAGGACTCAAAAACAAGGAACAAACAGGAACCTGCATTTATATGATTCTATAATAAATTCTACTGCTTCCCATGAAAGCTGCATCAGAAGAGTCTAATACGTGGTTTGTAACAATGATTCAATACAATTTGATACTGGGCTCACAGTATCATTTTTCTAATGAGTATTTTCTAACAAAATGAAATTATAGATTTTTTTCTGAGGCATATTTCCTTTTGTGAAGTGAAACTGTCTTTGTTCCTTGATACCACGATTGATAGACCGATTGATTCTTCATTTCACCGATATCAACTGTCTCGCAATATATCTGTACATTCCTTATAGGTGGTGTCTCACAACTGGTCAAAGCCATAAAACACTTTTTGTAAAATCTTTCAGCTGTCATCAAACATTTGTCTCTGGGAGATCACATTTAATTTTTTTCTCCTGCCCTACTGAAAAGCTGGCTTTTACTATTAAATATAGCGCTAACATGTTTGTGTGAAGCTTTCTGTGACCCATGTTTGGTTCCTGACTCTGCGTTTGAACACTGGTCTAGCCTACATTGGGCCAGTAAATAGTCTACTCTCACTTAGACATTATCTTATATCTTTTGCCAGATCCATACATAGTTGATGATCAAGGTGTTATCTGAGGCAACATCAATGATGTCATCAGATCCTGCTCTCAGTTACCTCCGCCTGTGTTGGTATTATAGCAGATATGTACCTGTAAATCATTAATGCCCATTCAATTGTTTCTTTGCTCCCTTGGCAGTATCTCTTGCCGGCTGTAGTATTTCATCAGGAAATATGGTACAAGCTACTGATAAAACAAGCAAGAACAATTCTCAACTTGGCTGAACTCTGTTTCAACTCATGAGCTCATGGCTAGACAGGTGGGGCTGAGGTATCAGGGCAGAGCGTGTAAAATCTACAGCAAAGGAGTGCATCTCGGTTTTCTCGTGTGTGTTAACAGCTGACACTGAGAGCAGCCTGCAAGCCATATAACACATTCTAATAGACTGTGACACAATGAGTAGCATCAAAATACTATCATGTTTTGTTCACACTGGCATTAAAATTGTACAGACTCAAGCTTCAGGCAACATTTGCTCACACTTTTTCACACGAACAAATTCTTAACTGTAATGCCACATTTAGCCCCAAACAAAAATGATCTCAAAACCACCCCTAGTCCTGTATAGAATCACTGACATCTTCTCTGACTCAGAATTCAGTTGTAAATATTAACTCATGCTGACAGACCTACTAAAGCTGAAACTGCTTTCCTTTCCCCTCTCTCTTTAAAGTTAAAGGTGTTCCAACACAAGGTGGCAGCATTGAGTTATTTGTGACAGCGGGACCTCTCAATGTTTCTGAGGGATGGTTTGCTCTTGACACCTTCCACTAGAAACAAAACAACAAAAGACATGTATATCAGATCCACAATGGCTTTGAACATCTCGTAGTGAATTGTTGTCTTTTTTAAAACAGCCCTATTCATTCTGTAACACACCATAACCTTAAAATGCAGAGGTTTTGAGTAGAGTTCACTACTACAGAAACAACATTCTTCAGCTTAAATTTGGTCAGCAGCCATGATTAGAAAATAAGTGCAGTTGATGTTGTGGTGGAAGATTATTTTCATTTTGTCTATCAGTCATATCAGGTCACAACAACTCAGATTGGATCACTTATGTTGTTTTCAGATTGGCCTTAATGAGCAAGGACTTCACATCTTTGTGCATGCAGTGGCGAAGCAGTTTGTATAAGAGTCCATGCTTTTGTGCGAAAGAGAGAGGGAGACTGTGCTGAAGCATCCTCAGCCACTGATGTACTTATCTAATCAGTAATTCCAGTTTTTAAATTAGCGCACAATAACAGATTACAAAAGGGGACTTTTTTGATTTCACTAAGATGAGCATGGAACAAATATCTTTTCGGTGAAATTCTCTTAACTTGGAAGACAGAAACATTCGATAAAGGTTAAAATATCCTTTGCTGTTTGTCTTAGTCTGCTGCTATTTGCTATTTCACAAGAAATAAACATCCCGAGGAACATTATGTTGTATAATCATTGTATAATGTCATATAAATACACACACAATAAGTGAAATCAATGTATATAAATGTCATATACCTTCGATAGTAACAAGGAACATATTACCCTCAAGGTATAAAATTATTTTAAAATCGACTTTGAGGGAGGCACGGACAGGTAGAGTGGTTGAGTTTAAAGGTGTGACAGATCCTTATGATTGTTTGGTGCATGTGTCTGGCAGTAAAAAAGATTATTAAATGTATTTGAATATTTTCATAAATTATATACAGTGTCAGTTTGTCTAAAACATACAGTATATGAAGGGAAATTAATTTGGAAGTGAATGCATTGTTTTGTTTTTAGGAACAAGACTTGTTCTAGAAATGTCTAAGAGGTCATTTATTCAAACACAGAAGAAATAATTAAAAAACTTCTGAACTCATACATTACACACTAATGTAAGTGGAGCCTTAATATGTGCTAATGGTATGTTTACTCATTTCTGTTCCTATATGCCAGGGTACAATCAAGCATGTCATGCAACAATGTCGAGGCAGGGCACATAATGTGGATATTGTACTGGTGGCACAGATTTCCATTTTCACACAGACAATGGGGACTGGGGGTTGGCTGGGGAGAGGGGGGGGCCTGTCTTAGCAAAAAAAAAAATTTAAGGATTCTCATCAGAGTCACCAAAACACTGAATGATTTACTGCCAAATTAATTACCCTTTACCCAACTTTAGACAATAATGCCTAGAGCTGTCTGTCGGAACAGCATTATTCTATTAGCGTTCGATTTGCAGTTCAGCCAGAGTGACTTCATATCTAGATTTGATTGTATTTTCTTAGTGAATGTGTAGCAATGCATCCACAATAGAAAGGCACAGAATTATCTGACAGTTGAATCACCTGTGCAGCAGAGATGGGATCAGCACATTATTTGGAGAGAGAATTTTAAACACTGAACATATCTGTTCCACAGCATTACAAAAGGTGCATTTACAGAGTGAATCCAAGCACAGTACAGTTTAATTAATTGAAACTTTTACAATATAAGGCCTCTTTCGCAATCATAACCCATCTTTAATCAAATTTAAGACTTGTTAATCATTTCAGCTCTCTCTGCTTGGTTTTGAAGGTCGTGTGATTCAAAGCGTTATTGTGTAGAGTTTTACAAAAGTACAGTATTAACAACACTCGTGAAATCAAAGTTGGCATATGTTTTTAATTAAATTTTACTCTTACTTATCTAGAGCTGCAGGTTAAGTGACTCCGAAGGGACTTGGAACACAAGCATGAGATTATAGCTGGCTGGTTGTCTGTGGGCGCGCCTGACCTGGTCCAGATCCGGGCCACCTGTGTAGGCTAGCCTGCCCTCCCGTCTGCCTCCTGTGCTGTTTCCAGGAAGTGGTCACCAGGCAGCCCATTGCCACTTTTTCCCTCCCCTTCAACTTCCCCAACTAGCCACGCAATTATTATATTATTTATTACAAAAAATATAGAAACTTTGAATATACAGTATATAAATCTAAGGAAGTAAACGTAAGATGTTAGATATTTGAATTGCAGAAATTATGTTAGGCATAATAAGATACAGCAGATGGGGGCAATAAGTAGGGCGATTCAAAACACAACTAGTCTCGGTTTATCTCAGTGAATGGGCTGAGCTCCCTTGTCTTGGCCTGTGTGTCTCTGTTCAGCAGTCGATAGGTTAACCTGCCCGTGGCATCCATCTTGTGTGGCCCCCCTCGCATTACCATTGATCTGAGGGAAATAAAGAGCACACGTATTATTATATACAGCCCAGAAAAACACCCTCTCACAGTGATGGAGTGAACAGGCCAAATGTATGAAATATTGCCCCTGCGACATATTCTGTCTTCCTGTCAATAGTGCAGCCTTTGCCCACAACCCGAATCAATAGGGACTTATCTTTTCATGATAACACATAACGATGTTGTCTGTTGTCTTTTCTGATATTGAAGTTCTAATTCCATCCCTCCGCCTTTTCAAATCATCCATACTGATATGTATATTTGGACAACTCTGTCTCGTTTTTTTCCCTTGTTTTTTTCCAAAAGAAATAAAATTGCCATGGGCCTGCTAGTCTGAGACATGGCAG